TTCATTAAAAAAACTTAAAAGCTTATTTTAATTAATAAGATTTAAGTTAAAAAATATATTAATGCCTATTAAGGTATGCATTTAAAAGTTGTTTAACAGCATTGTTTTTAAACGCTGAGAATTTAAGGATTTATAAAAGGCTATAAATATAGCCTTATTATCTTTATTAATAGCATAAATTTAACATTATGGATTTAAAGAATATAAATATCTTATAAATATTCTATTAAGTATAATAATAAGCTTATTTATTTTATTTTTAATAACCATATAAGCTAAATAAATATCCATAAAGAAAGCATAAGCATTGAATTAAGTTAATGCAAGGGTAAACATTAAGTCTTAAATATTATTAGTATATAGGCAATATTTAATAGGAAAATAAATAGTTAATTTAAGTAATATAATAATATATTGCGTAGCAAGTACCTTGGCCTTTATTAAGCGGCTATAATTTCTCGTTTTTATGGGAATTTAAATATAATAAGAATTAATATTAATATATTCTTTTAAATTAATAATATTAAAGCCCTTTAATCTTATAACATTTATATTAATAAATATATTAACCTTTAGGTCTTTAATTATAAAGACTTTATAAGTAAATAAAGCAATTACTGCAATCCTGCGGTTAATATATTTTTCCAGGAATTATAATAATATAAGTATATAATTATATAACTTATAAATTTTCATTTTAAGTTTGCATAATTATAGTGGAAATGCATGTTTATAAATTAGCAAAAGGGGATAATTTTATTATAACCATTATTTATTTGCTATTATTTAATTATAGCTAATATTGCTATAAATATTTAATAATAATCTAAATAATAGTTAAATAAAAAAATGTAAATAAGTTTAAAAGCGAAAATTAAATTCTATCCTAAATTCCAAATTAACCCTTACCGGTAATTAAATTATCTTCACGCCCTTTATAATATTTAATAAGATACTAAGGCCTTTTAGTTTTTTATTAGCTGTTTCAGGGTATTTTTTAATGCATTATTTAAGCCTTAATTGTTTAGTAGGCTAGTAATCTCCGCTTTAGCTGTGAAAGCCATTAACGTTTATCTTTATCAAGGCCAAGGCTTTTTAAAATGGATAAAGTAAATATAATTTATTAGCAAATTATTGCTATAAAAATGCTTAATATAATAACGGTAAATAAATAATAATGATGCTAATATGCTAAAAAAGGCAATGTTTAGGTAGTTATTATAATTATTAATAGGAAACGCTTCCTTAAAGGGATAATTAAAAGCCTTAATAACTATATTTATAAAGAACTCTTTATTTAAGACTTCCTTAATTAAAGGTAGTTAATATATAAGCATATTAAGTTGCTTTATAAAGTTTGCAAACTTGCTATAATAGGCTTAATAAAGCTAATTTCATTAATATAGTTTAATAGTAAATAGGGCTTACAAGGTAAGCAAGCAATAATTCTTTAGAATAAGCTATTATTAATAATTTCCCAGCTATGGCTATTATTAAGCAAGTTATTGCTACTCATTTTATTATCAACGCCATGCAACGTATTAATTTAATAGCAACTAAGGTTAACTATATCTAGCATTTTAAATCTAGCCTTAACCAGTTAATTAAACCAGCAGTTAAAACTAATTTTAAGTTTAATTAACCATATATAATTAATTATATTGTAAAAGAGCTTAGGATAGCTATATTTAAAAGCATTGCTATAATTGCCATTGCTAGGGCTGCAAAGGCAAATATTATAAGGCGTAAAGAACGTTTAACCTGCCTTTATAAGCAAGTATGGGCTAATAAGGATAAATAACATTCCAAGCAAATAAATATTATTATTAGGCTAAGTTAAGAATTATACTCTTATAGTTTTAAACATTATTTAAAAAGCTTTTTAATATTATTACTTTATTAAATTTTTAAAGTTTAAACTTAATCTTAAAAGCAAGCAATTTAAATATAGCAATTAGCTATATAGAAAACTTTATATTATAAGCCTTTGCATTTATAATAATAATTTAAAGAAATAAAGTAATATCCCATCTCTTTGCAACCTAATAAAGAAATAAATAATTTATCTTAAAACTAATTATAGCATTTAAAAAGGACTTAATAAAATGCAATTTTAACTTATTATAAATTACTTAAACTATCGCTATCTTAAGCAGCTAATAATCATTATTAATTAAGATATAAAAGTATTATTTAAGTATATCCTTTAAGAAATACTAAAACTAAACTTAATAAATATTATTTATAAAATAAACTTATTTAATATGCTTTAAATACTTAATAAAATAAAAGATATTAAAATATTTTATAATCTTTCCATTAAATTAAATACCTAAATTAATATATTTATAAAGGCAGAAATAGCCAATATTTGCTAGCTAAATACTAAAATATTTATTAACGCCATTTTATATAAGCTTAACTTAAATATAAATTTAAGGAATTAATGCATTTATAAATACTATAATAATTAAATATGCAAAGTTTTAGTTTTGCTAGTTATAAAGCTATATTATTGCTTATATAATAAGGTTAACAGCGTTTTTAGCTATAAGTAGTACTATATTATTATTATTAAATTTAAAGCCTTTTAATTCCATTTTATCATTCCTTTTTAAATACAAAAAAAAGCCAAAGTTTTAATTATATATTAATATAAACAATATATTTCTAAGAAAAACTTTTAAGAATAATAATAAACTTAGCAAACTTATTATTTAGCAATGCTTAAATATTTAAAGAAATTACGTTTTAATTAATATATATAATAAATTACTAAAAAGCAGCGTTTAGCTAACTAAGGAAGCAGCTTAAAGATTAAACACTAAAAGGAATTTAAGCAATAAGAGCGCTTATTAATAGGCAAGAAATGCAGAAAGGCTCTTTTGCTTTATTAATTAATTCTATAGCTAATAAGTTTTGCCTTAAGGAATTAAATTATTTTTATTAAAGATAAGCTATAAGAAATGAGTATATTTAAGCTTATTATTTTAAATCTTTATAATATATAAAAACCTAAATAAGTAATGAAATTATAAGAGCTATTAAGCATGTAATTATTTAAGTTTAGCCATGGAGTTTTACAAAGCCATATAACTAAATAATCTAAATAAATAAATATTAAGATAGTTATGCAAGAGCAAAGTGAGTAGTTAGAAATTAATGGTAAATTTGCAATGGTGCTCTCATCGTTTTATTGGATGAGGCTATGTTTATAGTAATTATTAGCTGGCGTTTAATTCCCGTTATTTAAGCTAAGTTATCAAGGGGTTCTGTAATAAGAGGGTTGTATTTGGTTTCTGGTTGTGGTTCTATCTAAGTTTATGTCGAAGGGTTAAGGGGCCGAGGACTACCTATCAATGCCCATAAGGGGTCTGTGCGGTGCTCCTTCCTCACAGATGGCGACCTACGTAAGGCCAGAGCTTGAGCCGTCGGGCTGTCCATAACAGGTAATTTCAAAGTGCAGTGTATGCGATGCAGGTCGCTTTGGGTGGGCGGCGGCAAGCAGCAACAGCGGCAGCAGCACGAGTGCCAGAGATCGGACTCGTCAGTTTAGCGTTCTTTGGAAGGTTCCGACTTGCGCCAAGCTGATCTCTCTGCTCAATGCACGTGCGCCGTTCGCCAAGCGGTCCCAGGATCGCTCTGGACGCAGAAGTCCCTGGTCCTTGCCGCGGGCCAGTGGGCTGGAGGAAGGCATCACGGCGTTACACTCTAAAGGGTGCACCCCGGTCCGCGGGTGTTTAGCAAGTGGCAGCCTGGCTGCACCCGGGCACAGATCCACCCCTTTCCCTCACCAAGAGACCCAGCACCCAAGAGGGCCCGACAAGAGGTCAAACAGAGCACAAGACGCGGGTAAACTTTAGCTCAGCGTCAAGCATTCGGGTGCTCCGCCCAGTGCAAGCTGGCCCGCACTGGCTTTCGCTGGCCCTCGCTGGCTCATCTTCGGTCTCGGTTCGGTGCACTGTTCTTCTCCCGGACGGTCGGGGGCTAGCAGTCGCTCATGCTCAATGCTTAATGCTCATATGGTCACGGTCATGGACCTAGCAGGTGGGTAGTTCCTGCCCATGCCCGGTGCTCGTGGTCTATGTACTCGGTCTTGCACAACACCTCCTATATTAAAATGCTCTGATCGGATCTGGGCTCAGCCTCATGAGCAGCGCAGCCCAGCAAGGGTGAAGAGCAACCCCCTTCCCACACCACCGGAAGCCCAAACTATACAAGCTCACTCCCGCCCTCCCAAAACGGGGCATATTAATACTCGCTCCCCTGCCGGCCTGCATGACCACTTACTTATACGCACTGTACATACATGTGCGTGCACACACACATGGATACATAGAGCTCGTCCGATCCATCGTCCACTTTCTTTTACTTCGGTCATCTGGTCTCCCTTTCCGAGTTTTACGATTCACTCAAATAAAACTTATCCCAAGTCCTGCCTGCTGATCATCACAATTCCCCTGGGAGTCCAGTCCCGATCAGTGCACGCCAGTTCATCGCTCGTTTCAACATTTGTTTTGTCAATCATCCCAAGATCAACCCCCAACTCCCACTGGTTTCACCTTTTCTTCAGATTACCACTGGGAACCCCCGGGCGTCCATGCTTCAGCAAGCTTGACCTGGAATATAAGCATCATTCGTACCCACGCCGATCAAACAGAGCATAACTTGATCCTGGTGGTTCCTCAACGGGGGGCGGGCACCATTTTGACACAGGGCCATTCCGAGACAGCTTCACGAGTCGGCAAATTTGAGTGTCTGAGACATACGCGCTCGCGACATCCTGACAAGTCCCCGCAGCCGCGCCGCACTGCTTTCTCATATAAGATATCCAGCCACCGGGAACTCGGGAGAAGAGTGAGCAACCACAGCCATAAACACACTCAGATCATATCATCGGAGGCGTCATTTTCTGGAGCCCGTGTGTGTTACCTGCCGGACGAAAAGGATATAATTCTCACAAAGGAAAAGAGAGAAAAAGGAAAGGACCTTCGCCCACCATGAGGTCAGGGCACATCTTCTACTCACTCTGGGCGGCGGCGCCTCTCGCCATGGCGACACCAGTCCTACCTCACCTCGTTCTGTCAAAGACCCTAGAGACAGTCTCAGACCCGTCATCGGGACCGACTGGGTACCAGCCGCCGGCGACTATCACGACCGCAGGGGCGAAGGGGTCGAAGACGGAGATCCTCCGGCCTCTCGACCGACAAGCAGTCATCGACGACGACGACGACATGCCGCGGCAGCCAGCCTTCGACAACCGGCCATTATCAGCGTCGGCATCCGACCTCTCACGGCTTGCCTCGGAGGTGCTCTCGTCGGCCGGACCGTTGACGTCGGACCTCCTGGAGGCACTGGCGAGGCTGCAGTCTGCACAGGAGTCATTACCAGAGGAGGCTGAGGCCGAGGCTGAGGCAGAGTCAGACACAAAGACACAGTCGGACTCGCACCCAGAGCCCTCGCCGCGAAGGAAAATGTCGGTCGGCTCATTAGTAAGGCTCGCATCGAACCAGGGCGGAGGCGTGCTACGCATCAAGCAGCATACCGAGACACACTCACGAGACTCTGCTGCGGCCCTGGGGGGTGCGCGCCAGTCCCGCCCGTGTGGGGCTCACCACGCCGACGTGCTGGTGATCGGGATGGTGCTGACATTCCTGCTGGTCGTTCTTATGATGGAGACGGCAGAGCCCGTGTCGAGGACGTGAGTTCGACCCTTCCCATCTCACAGCCGAGCTCCAGATCTAGCGTTACTGACTCTTGTTGCCTCCCAGTGTGCGCCGGATGCTCAAGAAGGAGGGTGCCATCCGCCTGAAGGACGACGTCGAAACAGCTCGAGCCATGTCGGTCCGAGCACCGGGCCTGGACATCCCCGAGACGATAGACGAGAAGCCGGAAGAGGAGCATGACGAGGACGAGGACGAGGACGAGGACGATGACGGCGGTGCTGAGCCATGGGTGATATGATGACCATCAGCGTGGGGACGTGAGGCGTGTGTGCATTGTCTTGGGCATAGCGGGCGTTTCTGGATGGGTTTGGATGGTGTTGGTGTGTTGAAAGAGATTAATTGTGTATCCCACCAAGGGGCCCAAGGGGGCCCGCTGTGCGATGGCCGCGAACGAAGTGTCACCACTTGGGCACCGTCGAGATGATGTTCTCGACTAATTCCCCGGGGCGATTCGGCCACCCGCTCATCGCTCGCGGGCACATACCGAGCCGGGATGGCACGGAGAGCCGGGCAGATGGTGTGGCGAGGCTGCGAGCAGGAAAGTGTCGCACCCCGTGTGAGCAAGTAAGCTGTGAGCCGGCCGCGCGAGTGACCTCGATACGAAATTCAAAAAGACAACCCAACAAAGAATTAGTCCACAAACCAGGAGGGCGGGAACGTGCTGTTTGACGAGACATGCCCATCACTACGAGCCAGACAGCAGCTGCACTGACGACACACCACTTGGAGACACACGAGCATTCCACAGCCCCTCTCGTGTCATGGCAGTCTGAGCAGCTGTGCGGGTTCAAGACTCGGGTCGCCCCCGCTCACCCACTTCCGGACAGCCAAGAACTGAAGAGTGGACTCTGGCTTTCCCAGATTCTCATCAACGATGTCGTACATGTGTCACATGCTGCTGTGTGCCCTGCGTGCATGACAGCGAATCAGTGCCGGGTAGCACGGGGCCCCCGGGCGATAGCTCTGGCCATGCTGGCTGCTCGAGAGGCTCGTCGGCCATTCCCGACGCCGCCGCCGCCGCCGTGCCGGGAGGACCTCATGGGGTGCGTGCACCACAAACCCCCCTTGGCAAGCTCACTGCCCCCAAAACTGTGGGGCAGCAACTCGCATGCATCGCACGCATCGCATACATCGCATACATACAGCCGAGGAACGAGAGAGGGGGAACAGGAAAGAAGCTTTTTGTTCTTTCCTGCTTGCTTGCATACGAGCAAGGCTGAGCCACACACATGGCGGGGATTCCGGGCGGGACCCCCAAAAGGCTCTGGGGACTCTTATTACCTGACTTGTTAGTTTCTTGTCATGCATGCGCGCGTGCATCTGGCTGGGTCGGAATGGGGCCTGACTGACAGAGGTCTCTGCAGCGGGAACAGGTCAGCTGGACAGAGGCGTGGGTCCACGGTCCCCGATGAGACCCAGCACGTTGTTATTGTTATTGATCACTGCTCGCTCGGACTGGTAGCAACCTGCCGTCCCAACAGAGAGGATCAGCCCAGCCAGAGCTACCACGGTACCAATGTGGCGCGGCACGTTGTTGGGCTAGCCGTCCAGCCCCTCCAGCCATGTCATCTCTCACTGTACCTGTCACTGTACAGTACAGTAATATTTCTACTGCTGCGGATGTGACCGTGACCGTCACTTTTGCCAACCGTGCAGTCGAATGGGGGTTGGTCTTGTTCCTGTGGGATGCCGCCGAGGAGGACAACGGGGCGACGAGACTGTGATGCCGGCAACAATAACGACAACAATGACAACAGACGGCTGCGTGCTGCTCACCGATGGACAATGAACGACAGTGTCCGACGACACACAACCACCATACCGCACATACCACACAAACCACACACCAACAAGAAAAGCGCACGAACCCCGGGCCCGCGGGGCCTTGGCAATGGCACATGGGGTGCCGTACACTAGCTCCAGGAGCGGCTCCAACAATGGCTGCATGGCTGCATGGCTGCATGGCTGCACGGCTGCACGGGCGGCAGGATCGCCAACAGCCACCAAGGGAGGGCTCTGAGCAATGGGCGGGCAGTGATGGTGATCAGAGGGGCAGAGGGGCTTCCCGTTTCAATGGGCGCACATCTCTCCTGCAGGAAAGTGGCAGAGAGAACCACCCACACCCCCCGAGTCCAAGCCACACGGTCAGTTCCTGGCATGAGGAACAAGCTCAGCCCTCCTCTCCTTCCCCTGCTGTCTCCTCCCGTCTCCTCCTCGCCTCCTGCCCTCCTGCCCTCCTGCCCTCCTGCCCTCCTGCCCGTCTCCTCAGCCCAGCCCAGCCCAGCCCAGCCAGAGCCCAGCCCAGCCAGAGCCCGAGGCCGAGCCCTTGCTGCAGCTGATGCACACTAGATCTACCTGCCTTGCAAGGTTGTCACTTCTCACGTCGCCCTGGCCGACCCATGATATAATAACCAACGCCGCCTCCTTCCTGTCCCTCTCTGTATCTCTCGCTCCCAGAGCTGTCTGTCCGACCCGACTGGCTGGTTGTCCCATCGCGTGGCCTGGCCAATTGCTGCAGGGTATTGCTCTCGAGAATTGCTACGCCAACGCGAAATTGTCACGATCCTCCAGAACTTGTCTCCCGACCCCGCGTTGTCTTCCTGACCCAGCCACCTGGGCCCTCTCCCTACCCCGCAGTGCGGGTCCCCCATACTGTAGCCCATCAAGCCCGCCCGATCGCGCTCAAAAAGCTCAGCTCACCCTCTGCCCGAGGCCATCGTTGCTGCTGCTGCTGCTGCTGCTTGCTTGCTTGCTTGCTTGCTTGCCCATAGCTCCAGCTCGAGCTCAAGCCCGGAACCGAGACCCCGGACCCAGATTCGAGACCACGGGCCAACGCGCTCATGTCTCTGCAGGTCGAGGATACCAGAAGAACTCGGTCGCGCTCTCCAGGCCGGCGCGACCGCAGCCGCAGTAGAAGCCGTGGCCCTCCCTTGGTCGTCGAGACCGACCCATACGGCGACAGGGAGAGGGAGCGTGCGTACGAGCACGAGGAGCGCCGCTATCAGGCGCCCCCCTCACCCAGCGACGATGCCTACTACCGCCGCCCGAGGAGCCCAGCCGTCGAGAACGGCGCGCGGACCTCGTACGGCGACCTGAGATACGATGGCGACTACCGCAGGGATGGTCCCAGGGAAAGGCACTCCGACTCGGACAGGGAGCGCGACAAGGAGCGCGACAAGGAGCGCGACAAGGAGCGCGACCGTGCCGGGCTGATGGACGCCTTCCTGCCGCAGAAGTACGCCAAGAAGCTCGAGAACTCGGACGCCTACAACTACATGACCGCCCCCATCTCCGACAAGTCGAGGGAGCGGTCGCGCGACCGCCGCGCCCAGAAGAAGGAGAAGCTCGAGGAGGACCTCGCCTACGGCAAGCTTCACTCCCCGCCCACAAAGGACGCCCGCCCCGTGTCTCCGCGTCCTCCGGCCTCCCCGCGCCACTCGCCCTCGCCCTCGTATGAGTACGCCAAGCCGCCCCAGTGGGAGTATGAGAGGGACGAGAAGCTGTCCTCGTACACCTCCCGGGACCCACGGCACAGCTCGGATGCCCTCGGTGTCGGCCACGGCCATGGCAGCTCCTCGCGCACGCGCAGCCGGAGCCCCGCGCCGGGCCACCGGGACAGGGACCGCGAGAGGAAGTCCCACTCGCACCGGGACTCGCTCACCGTCGACCCGCGCGGCTCGTCGGCCAGCGTCGTCGCGGTCGAGCCGGGCGAGGCGCCGCGCAAGAGCGCCATGAAGCGGTCCTCGTCGCCGCAGCCGCCCGTCAACAGGATGTCATCGCTCTCCGTGTCGACCCCGTACCACCCGGGCGCGGGCGGCCTGTCCGTGTCGGCCGCGCCGGCGTCGCCGCTGCTCGAGTCGTACCACGGGACCTACCAGCAGTCGTCGCCGATGCCATCGCCCCTGCTGTTACCGACCCACTACGGCCCAGGCGACGCGCAAGTCATGGACGTCTCCCCGATCGGGTCCGAGGACGAGCGCAGCGGCAAGAGGCGGTCGCGACGGGCGCGTTTCGCAGACCCGCAGGACGACGCGCAGCGGCTGGCAGACGCTCTCAAGGGGAGCAAGCCGCCGCGGACGGAGCCCCTGATCGAGATCCTGCCCGGCATGACGCATGAGCAGGTGATGGACCTGCGGGCCGAGTACAAGCGGCTGGTCAAGACGGGCCCGGAGCGCAAGGGCGTCAACGTGGCCAAGCACGTGCGCGTGCGCCTCAAGGACGAGGACCCGTCGCTCATGAAGGCGTGCTACGCGACGGCGCTGGGACGGTGGGAGTCGGAGGCGTACTGGAGCAGCTTCTGGTACCAGGGCGACAAGACGCGGCGCGAGCTGCTGATCGAGAGCCTCATGGGGCGCACCAACGACGAGGTGCACGAGATCAAGGATTCCTTCACCGACAAGAAGTACGGCGACAGCCTCACGCGCTGCATGAAGCAGGAGCTCAAGGAGGACAAGTTCAAGAGGGCCGTGTTGATGGTGCTGGAAGAGCAGAGGATGGAGGACTTCGACCGCCATGGCCGCCCGCTGGAAATCGATTACGACCTGGTCAGGAGCGACGTGCACACCCTCCACAAGGCCGTCAAGGCCGAAAAGGGCGGCGAGAGCGCCATGATCGGCATCGTCGTCATGCGCAGCGACGCCCACCTGCGGGAGATCCTGCGGGAGTACAGCGAGGAGCACCGCGCCAACTTTGCGAGGGACGCGCTGAAGAAGAGCGGGAACCTGGTGGTAAGTACCTTCAGCCTAGAGGAGACCTTCGATTATACTACGCCAGCGACTAACACATACATTCTCCACAGGGCGAGCTCCTCGCACATATCCTCAACGGCGTGATCAACAAGCCGGTGCGCGACGCGCTGCTGGTGCACCACGCGCTGACGGCGTCCAAGAAGGACGGCCTGCGGCGCGAGCTACTGACGTCGCGGCTGGTGCGCTTCCACTGGGACCGGCACCACATGGCCGCCGTCAAGCGGGCGTACACCGAGCGCTACGGCAAGGACATGATGGAAGCCGTCCGGGACGGCACCTCCGGGGAGTGGGGTCAGTTCTGCCAGGAGCTGTGTATTTCGCGGATGCCCGACGACGTCAAGAGGGTGGAGAGGATCCAACTGTCGAGGTAATTTTGGGCAAGGGGGGTGGGCAGGATTCATATGTGAGAGTGATGGGAGTGATAAGCGATGGTGGTGGTGGTAATGCGTCCTGGGTTACGGTGATGATGATGAATGACTATCATGACGATCACGATGTGATGGAACAAAATCTACGCGAGATGAGAGATCCGACGGAGGAGGGGGAAAAGGGCCAATGGTATACTACTCATTTGTGGGTTGGTAAAGAGTGTGTACGTGATGTATCTCCATGTGTGCATTCGATTCTTACTAGGAAGAGAGGCTTTCACAGGCTGCCTGCATATACATGGCTTTGATACCCGGTCGGACTGGGAACGGGAAAAGAGACGAGAGGTTTTATATATGATACATGCTTCAATGGAAGCGAGCCCAAAGAACCTCCTGTCCGAGGTGACATGTTCAGATGCTCGAAGTCAATTCGGAAATTGCACCGCTAGGTGCTCCCTGCAGGGTGTTGAGTTTCCGAGGCTCTTTCCGACAACATGGTGATCTCGTGGATTCCTTTCTCCAAGCTGTCAACCCGATCATCCCTTGTTTCCTGCCTATGCCTGCTCCACCCTGCCAACGTTTCATCGCCCATGCTGACCTGGCCGTAGTAATCAATATGCCGTGCGCCGTTCATACCTCCCCGCCCGGCAGAGTGACCTCGGAATCAGAACGCATCACGCCCGACCAATCCGCTCCCAAGAGAGACTCATCTGTGCCGGGGATGGTGAAGTTCGATTGATCTACGGCGGGTTCTACGCCGAGAATAGAAGGCCAGGCTTGCCGAGGCCTGCGTTGCTGACAGAAACTCCATCCTCCTGCGCTGCTGACAGAAACTCCATCCTCCTGCGCTCCACCCGCCCAGAAAGCTTCGGTCCATCCATCTTACTCGAGGGGCGCCATCTTACTCGAGGGGCGTGGCACCCTTGACATTACTGTGGAACTCCCACTCCCTCTTTACACAGACACATGCCGTGAACCGTCTGCATGATATCAACTTGCAGAAAAGAGAAAGCTGGGGCCGCCCATCTCCGACTCCAACCGCCCCCAACCCGTCACAAGCACCCCGTTCGGATCGACCCGCCCGCAGATCAACTGCCGGGTATTGCGTGGGGATAATGCGCGATCGCGCCGCGAGACTGACAAAAAACCCATATGACCCCCTTATCACGATATCGGCCTCTGGCGTCGGCGCCGAACGGCACGCACGGCAGCTTTGGGCGTCACATCGTGCATCTCAGCGGGCCACCGCGCCGTCTGATGGTCGGCAGGGGGAGGGGAGGGGGAGATATTGTTCTCGCATGGGACGGCGGCCTGGAGGCGGCCGCTGTGGTCGAACTCTCGTGCTCGCAGGGGCCTCCACGTTGCTCTTTCCCTGCCACGCGTGTGTGCTTTCCGACAAGAGGGCTTGGTGAAGCTTCTCCGCATTCAATCAAAAGTCCCGCCAGCACGCTGAGGTGAGAATATAGCTGTGGATCTGTGTGGATCTTGGGTGCGTTGGTGTGATGGCATCTCTGCATGGCTGCGACTCCACGCCAGGTTTTCCTGATGGCGATGCCTGTCTCAGGCATGCACGCCCTTCGGCATCGGCGGTTGGGGTACGTCCCGACAGCCCGTTAACTTTGCGGGGGTTGGATGGAGTTGGATTGCTCTGGATGGAACTTCTTCTACCCGGCTCGGTGTTTCTATATGTCTGCGCTGGCCCTCTGAAAGACGTGGGTGCCTTTAGTGGTTCCGCCAACTTGGGCTGTGTCTACCGTCATTGAAGCTGCACACATACCTGTAACAGGCTCTCACGTACCCATCACAACTTTGTCAAAAAGTGAGCCATGTTGCAATACGCTCTTGATCTCGGCTCTCAGGCCGGACTGTCCTCCACCTACGGCCGACTCGTAGCCGGCGCAGCTGTCCTGGGGCTCGTGCTGTATGCCTGTTTCCGCGAGCCAGGCCTGTACCCGGGCATCCCGACCTGGGGCGTTGAGAAAGGCTGGATGAAGATCGAGAAGGCGCGGCGCAAGTATACAGCGCAGGGAACCCAGCTCGTCGCAGAAGCTGTCGAGAAGGTATGACGGCGCCCCGGTCCACCAGGGGATACACCTCTGTAGGGAGTCGAAGTTGAAAAACCCTGTGTACACAGTTCTCGCAGCCCTACCAAATCGCTACCGATGTAGGCGTCAAGATCTTCCTCCCCGCCCGATACGCAGAGGAGATCAAGAACGTCAAGCAGATGAGCTTCAAGAAAGCACTCCAGTGGGTAAGTCTGGGATTTGGGGAGGACAGGACGGACCATGTTGACAAGTTTTGCTGAAATTCAAACACAAAGGAGTTCTTCCTCGATTATCCGGGCCTTCGGGCAATGAACACACTCACGCACGAGGAAGACATTGTGCAGAAGGTGACCCGGCAGAACATCACACAGTCTCTGAGTTCGTGGGCCCATCACGGAGAACAAGCCTGGGTTTGCCGTCAGTCAGGCTGACAAGCTCTCGCAGATCTGATCACCGACGACCTCTCTGAAGAAGCCAACTTGGTACTGGAGGAGAGGCTGGGCGAAAACAATGGTATATTGTGCAGCCCCGTCTGCCGTTACTCGCAGAATCCCCACTAATATGCTGCCGTCACAGAATGGACATCCATGGCACTGAAGCCCTTCGTCCTTGACCTCGTAGCCCGGCTCTCGTCGCGCCTGTTCGTCGGCGAAGATCTCTGCCGCAACGAGGAATGGCTGGAACTGGCCAAGAACTACACGCTGGATACCTTCGCCGCCGGACGGGCCCTCCGCAGCTGGCCCTTTGCACTCCGGCGCATCATGGTATGGATACTGCCGGAATGGAGGAAGATTAGACAGGACGTCGCGGACGCGAGGAGAATCCTCGCCCCGGTAATCAACAAGCGGCTGGAGTGGAACTGGACGGCAGACGCAAAAGGTGTGCCGCGACCCAAGACGGGAGACACTATCCAGGTAAGACAGACTCGAGAGACGCCCGGGCCCTGAGACGTTGCTGATGCAGTGTGTTTATGGCAGTGGTTCCAAGACGCCTTTGAGAGAAACGGACTCGAGCCCAGGCCTGCGGATGCGCAACTTGCACTCAGCGTGGTGGCCATCCACACGACGACCGAACTGCTCACAGGTAGCCTCCTCGATCTGGCACAGAATGGTGACTTCATCGACAGCCTGCGCGAGGAGATGATCCCTATCCTTGACGAACAGAACTCTGTTGGAGACGGCGATGCTGAGGGGACGGGGAAGAGACACTGGAAGAAGAACAGCCTCTATAAACTGAAGCTATTGGACAGCGCACTGAAGGAATCACAGCGCTTGCACACCAGAGACATCGGTGAGTTCACCTGTGGCGGTCTCGGTGCTGTATGATCACTGACCCGATGCTCCCAGCCTCTATGCGACGCGTCGCCGAGGCCCCGGTCAAGCTCTCCGACGGTACTGTGATCCCGAAAGGAGCCTTCACCTGGGTCACCCTGGACGCGTATAGGAACCCAGACATCTATGCCAACCCGGAGGAATACAACCCACGGCGGTTCCTTGACCTCCGCAATCAGCCGGGGCAGGAGAACAAGTGGCAGCTGGTCAGCACGACTGCCGACCATCTCGGGTTTGGACATGGCGAGCACTCGTGTCCGGGACGTTTCTTCGCCTCCAATGAGGTCAAGATTGCGCTCGTGCACTTGCTGATGAAGTATGACTGGAAGCTGGCGGACGGGCAGAGGCCCGGAGACGTGGTGAAGGGGGGAAGTGAGATAGGTGTTGACGCGGAAGCGAGGGTCCTGTTCAGAAGGAGACAAGAGGAGGTAAGACTGTGATGACGATGTGAGGGAAGGACAAGCCAGACGTGAGAAAGTGAGCAGAGTGTTTTTTTGGGGCCCATATCGAAGCGAGAGCATCAACTGTTGTTGTGAGATTGTCGAGCTCATCGCGGGTTCTCAGCCTGTCGTTAACATCTAGGCGCAAGCATCATGTCGATTTAAGCCATCGCCAGTCATTCCCTTCCAGCTGTGTGCCATCAGCGTACAGATCAGTTCCCAAATGTCTGGGTGTGACTTGACCGGTGCAGAATGCAACATCAGATGAATGAACCCCCCGGCATAACCTTCCGCAGGGTAACTTTCCGTGGGATACCGTCTCAAGGGGACAGGAAACGTCTTTGGGATGTTCTGTAAGATTGCATATTTTGACAGGCCGTTTTATTCGCTTTCCATGCACTCTTCGGTACTTGATAGACGTTTGGAACGTCGTCCGTGAGCTGTATGGTTTCTTTGGAAAGTAAAAGCCATCCGAGGTATAAATTGCAAGGGGGGATTCACTCTCGGCAACAATCCCAAGACTCCTGAGGCAAATGAGATTCTCACTCAAAGTCTTGCAGGTAAGTGATGGAGAAGCTCGCGAACAGCTGTCTAGGACCGTTGTGCATGCTTGTGGCAACAGTAGTGTAGAACGCCGTGCCTAGGTCGTTTTCGGCCTTCTCAAGTGACCTTTTCGACCGGATCGCCGTGCTCCGGCCAGATGTACCGATTATCAGACGGAGAGATGTGCACAGCAGCACCGGCAGTCCGGGGCGCGTATCGTGGAACAAGTATCCAGGTCTTCCCAGGCACGGCGTGCGGATCTGTAGCCAGTAGGCAGCTTCTGGTCCCTGCATAGGGGTCCAGTCACGGTCCGTGCAGGCAAAAGCGGTCCGTCTGGGGGGGGGGGGTTGCTAGTAGGGTACGGCAAGCAGAGCGAACAGAGATGAAACAGAGATGCAACGAATGGGAAAGGGGAGGACGAGATAGACGGCCTTGGCTGATATGCCTGGTGGTCTGTACATAACACAGCGACGCGACTCTGATCACTGCCCTCTCACATGATGTGAAGGGGTCTGAGCTGACATGAGCTGGGTTGTGTTGATTGCGGTTGTAGAGTTATTAGAGTTTGGGGATGGGGGAGGGTTGAGGAGAGAGCTCGGTGGAGGTGTCTGCACTGCCACCTCGTGGCCCTGGTCCGGCTGATCGTGCCTGGAAGACACGGAAAGGCTTGGGAAGAAGGCTTGGACGCCGAGCGGCCAGGGCTGAGGGAGGGGCCAGAGGTTGCGTAATGGTGCTTGGGAGACGGCAGATTCGGGGGCGGTCTGGCCATGATGACCTTCTCGTATCTCCTGTTGGCCTGCCTGTCCTCGCAAACAGATAGACGCTGTCCAGGCAACCAACCAAGAACCAGGCAACCTGGGGAAGAGAAATGAAAAAGAGAGGGCTGGAATGGACCTACAGAGCATGTCGAGCCGGTTCTGTGGGGTGCAGCAGGCTCAGAAGCTCTTTCAAACCGGCCGGCCCCCGCGGCAAGGTGCGGTGGAGTTGATAGTGCAAGATATGAGCGAGCCATGTTCGCCACTAACAGGCACCCAGGTCCTGTGAGGCCTCGTCACCCCAGCACCCAGCCAGGACGGAGACGGAGTACGGGGAGCAGAGCCACCCAAAGGAGCATAGCTCATGACACTCAAGCCCCATCCATGCCGCCCACCCTGGTTGCTTGGGGTGCTCTGGGTGCTTGCGTGGTGGCGCTGACTGGTGCTTTCTTTCAGTGACGCCAGCCCCAATTCCCACCTCAGACAGACCTGTTTCGACTCAGTACGAACCCTGCAAGAGTCCTGCCTCAGCAGCCAAAGCGAAGCGTCTCAGCTGTTCATAACCTCCCGCCTCCGTCTGCGACTTCCAAAACCCTACCGCTTCTCAACCACTTTCCTCTCTCCTCCTCCCCTACGAACAGAATCTCTGCCTCTCCATCCGCACTTACGATACCCCCGCTCATCGAGCCATCAGATCCAAACAACAGACGAATCGCAATTTGATTTCTGTGATAAGAGCCATCACAGAATCCCGCCCGATTGATCCGACTCCTCCAAACCCCTAGCAAAACCACACACACAACCGCCGCAATGGCTGACAACCACTCCCCATACGACCCCGATCCGCGACAGGGACGCGGCGGGGACAGGAGGACACAAGCTCTGCAAGCGGTAAGTCATTTTCATTGAAGAAACCTGCATTTCGTTTCGCCAGGAGCTCCCAGATTGCGATGGGTCCAGACCCGTCGCCCTGCTTCCGCCGCGGCCGAATTGGAGCGACGTCAGCGCGCCGTCTGCATCATCAGCATCACACCTTCGGCGGCACGATCGCGAAGCTCTGGAATCAAAAAGGGCACAGGAGTATCGCCACTCCAAATGCCGACGAGCACTTTCTGAACGTTTCAAAATGTCAACTGCTCAATCAGCGGTCAGAGACAGCGGACAAGGGGCGACAGTGCCGCTTCAGACGCCCAGAACTTGCCAAGGAAGAACACAAGCGCGATCTCTCCATCCGGCACCGACCCTCCACCCGCATCGCGTATCGATCAAGACAAGAGCTACCTTCTAGGCGTCAGCTACTCGCTGTTCGGGCTCCTGAGCCGGGCGTTGCCGCGGATTGCTACAAGCATGTGTAATGTCTGTGCCAAGTGACTGACGCAGCAGCGTTTTGCAGGAAATCGACGACACCGTCAATGTCATGCACGATAACATCCAGAAGGTCAGGGAGCGCGGCGAGAACTTGGACCACCTGCAGACCAAGACCGACAACCTGGCCAACCAGGCCCATGGCTTCCGCCGCGGCGCCAACAGAGTGCGGAAGCAGATGTGGTGGAAGGACATGAAGATGCGCATGTGCCTGATTGCAGGCGTTATTATCCTGCTCCTGATCATCATCGTACCGAGTATGTGGAACAAGCTCCCCCCCCGGGCGCCGGGTGGCTTTTTGTATCTGGTAATGTAACTTTACTGACGGTTGTCCTCGCAGTTGTGGTCACCCAGACCAAATAAGCGGTTGGCAAAGGCTGGAGACGCAAGGCATCATGGCGCCACTGCGGCATGAATACGACGAAGCGAATGATCGATTACACGACTGTCGATCTCGCCGGCTTCGGGACGCATCCTCACGTGGACAACGACGAGGGGGAATGGCTGGCTGGCAGGCGTGCGAGCCTCGAGTTACCTAGCAAGGGTGGAGTTTTCTAGCTTTTGATTTCGACCGGTCCTTTTTGATGAACCTAAACTCACGTCTCGGTTATGACCAACGACGGAAGAGCAGTCTCGCAGCGTGCTCTCGCCGCGGGCTTTACGCCAGGTCACGGCCCGGGTTCCGAGTCTCTCCCAGAGCGATGCTACTAGGCTGGCAACGACCCAAGCACCTTTAACGCGGGACTGTATGTATGATGGAATGGCAAATGACTTTTTTGCAAATCACTTAATGGAGACATTCACGACTTACTTTGAAGCCCGCCCAACACATGTGACAGTGAGCCCTCGCACAGCGGAGTCCAAGCCGGAGGTCAGACAGACGGACATGGTATGGGTGCACGGGTTGCCGCATATGAACACGAGCTGGATCTCACCGAGTGACGACACAGCTGCAGAATATGGTGGAACCCCAGCCCAGACCCCTCGCGTATAAGTCAACACGTCTCGTACACACCATGAGGAGGCGGTGGGTTGGATACCTTCCACCCATCCTGGGTACCCGAGCACCGAGTAGGAATGGCGAGCCTGGCTTCGGCTTCTCAGGCGCCTGCATCTAAAGCCGGCAATTGTGACATGCTGCAGTGGAGAGGTGTGCCAGAAGGGCAGGTTCGAAAAATTTAAGGGCGACTGACCGCTCCATAATACACACATGTTTACATAGCCTACTGCCTAAACAGGGAGATCGCCCGATGGAGGCTGGCTCTGTAGGAGCCTGGAAGCCATGTACGTCCGTACGGAGTACCTTGAGAGACCCATCATCCGTCATGTCATGTCCACCAACGCAGCCGAGGTCTCTCGCGTTTACGACACCAATCGCTGGAGCCAGCCAGCTGGAGCAGCCAGCTGGAGTGGGCCACACTGGGGCATCTGATAAAAACATTCGCGCGCCCAAGACCTCGGGCACGAGTGTGCCGGGCGTCCGCGCTGTGAGAGTCCAAGGGGAGAGGGTGGATCAAGAGGGGCATCTGATAACTTTGTACCGGGATGGGCTCTCCTGCCGATGCCCCATGGTGTGCCAAGGTTCCGAAACGAGGGAATGAGGCCTGCTGGAGAAGAAGAAGAGGGTGGTGGTGGTCCAGTGATGATGATGACAATTATCCCTCGGCTCAGAACCGACGCTCGTTGCTGGCTCCATGCAGGTGGTCGACGATCCTGCACGCTTCTTGTTGTCAGCATGAAAAATCTCTCAATGCAAGGCTAATACCGCAGACATGCTCACATGCCGGGAATCTGGATGGGCTCGCCCAGGTCGGGTTCGGACGCGGGGGAGGCGGCGGCGAGCACCCAACCACGAGCTTGCAGGGCAGAAACGGTTGCGAGGCTGGCCGGCCGCGGCAGACTGGCTGGACTAGACTAGGTAACTCGGGCGTGCGAGGAGCGGCTTCGGCGTTGCGTCTTGGGCCTTGGAAAAATCCCTCCTTGGCCTTGAACCGCCCCTCCTCTCCCCCACGCAACTCTGGAACTTTTTTTTTGGGTGGTGGAACCCCAGCCCGGAGCTTAGCCAGGCCATACCCCAGTCGGCACCGCACACCAGCACATACAATACACACCCGATCCTCTCCCACAGTCTCCCTCTCCCTCTCTCTTTCCTCTGCGTCCTTCCCTCGCTCTCGTGTTAGACACTCTCCACTCCGTAGCTGACTGACTTTCTCTTTCGATGTTGACCGCGTGAGAAGGCAATTTTCCGCTTCTCAATTGGGTTTTGTGGTCTGCGCATTCGAGTCAGAACGGGAGATATCGTGAGTCAACAACCAGCCCTCCACGCCCCAACCTGGTATGGCCACCATGGCTGGCAGAATGGGGCAATCGCAGTCCGCTGCGCAGGTCCCGGCAACATGAGACAGCATCACAAGGCAGTTGTTTCTGTGTATTGGACCATCTCGACCGACTGTGCCCCGAGAAATATCACCCTTCCAAACGGATGATCTGTGGCAGATCCCTTATCTCCCCACTAGATACATACACATCGAGACTCCAAAGCCTGGGTGTTTTCCGTCTCCTGTTGCCGCCACCTGCCACGGAGCCAATTGGCCTGCTGTCAGCTTGCTGCTACAACAGATACCTTGCGTCCCTTCTGCCCGGCTAACTCAACAATTCTTTGCCTCAGGAGCATCTCCACAGGAACCATGCTGTCCACCTCCGTGAGGGCCTTCCGGGCCGGAGCCCGCCGATGCGCCCGACTGCCCAAGCCTCAGACCGCTGCCCCCCGTGTGGTTGCCAGCGCGCGACTTGCCGAATGCTCCCGCCGCGCCCTCTCCACCTCGACCAAGCAGCTTACCGATCTCAGCACTCGCGGCATAGTCATCCAGACGCTGAGCAGCGTGGGGTCCAAGAGGGAGGTCCAGCAGTACCTGTCGCACTTCACATCCGTCTCGTCGCAGCGCTTCGCCGTGATCAAGGTTGGAGGTGCTATCCTGACCGACTAGTGAGTTGCCCAGAACAGACCTTGGGCGCTTCTTGGGGCACGAGGCTGATAATCTTCTTCTTCACAGCCTGGACGAGCTGTGCAATAGTCTGGCGTTCCTCTACCATGTCGGTCTCTACCCTGTCGTCGTTCACGGCGCAGGGCCACAACTCAACAAGCTTCTGGAGGACGCTGGGGTCGAGCCACAGTTCGAGGAGGGCATCCGGATCACGGACCACAAGACCCTCGCCGTCGCGCGGAAGCTGTTCCTCGAGGAGAACCAGAAGCTTACCAACCGGCTGGAGGAGATGGGTGTCCACGTCCGCCCCATCACCAACGGCGTGCTCGAGGCAGACTACCTGAACAAGGAGAAGTGGAACCTGGTCGGCAAGATCACCAACGTGAACAAGGACCTGATCGAGCAGGCTATCAACCACCGCTGCCTCCCTGTCCTGACCTCCCTGGCCTACACCCCCGAAGGCCAGTGCCTCAACGTCAACGCCGATGTCGCGGCCGCCGAGCTTGCCCGCGCCCTGGAGCCATTGAAGGTGGTCTACCTGTCGGAGAAGGGTGGTCTCTTCGACGGAGAGGGTGGCAAGATCTCTGCAATCAACCTGGATGAGGAATTCGAGTACTACATGTCACAGGCGTGGTGCAAGTACGGAACTCGCCTTAAGATCAGGGAGATCAAGGAACTGCTGGACACGCTGCCCCGTTCGTCATCCGTCGCCATCATCCACCCCCAGGACCTGCAGAAGGAGCTGTTCACGGACTCTGGTGCCGGTACACTCATCCGGAGGGGCAACAAGCTGTTTGCGTCCACGAGCCTGCGGGAGTTCAGCGACGTCGAAAAGCTCAAGGAGGTGCTCATCCGGGACAGGGAGGGGCCCAACGCGCGGCAGACTGTTGACACCTACATTGAGTTCTTGAAGGAGAACCCCTTCAAGGCTTACTACGACGAAGCCCTGAGGGCGCTGGCTATTGTCCTGCCACCGAGCGAATCCCGCCCCCTGGCGACCCTGGCGACGCTCACCATCACCAAGTCTGGCTGGCTGAGCAACATTGCCGACAATCTCTTCACCGCCATCAAGAAGGACTTTCCGAAGCTAGTCTGGACTGTTAGGGAGCATGACGAGAACCTGACATGGTTCTGGGACAAGGCCGATGGAAGCTTGTCTGTCAACGGCGATGTAATGTTCTGGTGCGGTATCGAGGACGGTAACGAGGTCATCAACGTAATGAAGGACTTCGAGACGCACGGTCGGGCGATGCTGGGCGACTCCAACCTCGAGGCTCGGATGCAGCGGGCCGCCATCAACGCTGGTGCCACCTCCGCACCTAAGTCCGGTGCGCGACAAGCTCGGGGCTTCTCTACGATGACCAGGCCTCGTTCGTGGCAGACCAAGACGGCCGGCCAGTCCCGAGGCTTTGCGACGACCACCAACCCCAACCCACCACTGGGCAAGAGGAACAAGACGAGGGATGGGCCGGCAAAGGTGGCTCTGATTGGTGCTCGTGGGTACACGGGCCAAGCGCTGATCTCGCTTCTCAACTCTCACCCTAACATGGAGCTGTCGTACGTGTCGTCTCGTGAACTGGCAGGAACACCGCTGGAAGGATACGACAAGGCCCAGGTCACATATGTCAACCTCAGCCCCGACGATGTGCGGGAGAAGGAGAGGGCTGGCGAGATTGACTGCTGGGTCATGGCGCTGCCAAACGGTGTCTGCAAGCCCTACGTTGAGGCCGTCCACGAGGGCCGCAAGTCATCCAGCCACAAGAGTGTCATTGTCGACCTGTCCGCCGACTACCGATTCGACAACTCATGGACGTATGGCCTTCCCGAGCTCGTGCCCCGGCAAAGGATCCACGATGCGATCGACATCTCCAACCCCGGCTGCTACGCAACCGGAGCCCAGCTCGGCCTCGCGCCCTTGGTGGAGCACTTGGGCGGTGAGCCCGCCGTGTTTGGCGTCTCCGGATACTCGGGGGCAGGCACCAAGCCCTCGCCCAAGAATGACGTCGAGAACCTGACCAACAACCTGATCCCGTACTCGCTGACCGACCACATCCACGAGCGGGAGATCAGCACGCAGCTCGGCCACAGCGTGGCCTTCACCCCACACGTGGCAGTCTGGTTCCAGGGCATCCACCACACCATTAACATCCCGCTGAACAAGACCATGACGTCCCGGGACATCCGCCAGCTGTACCAGGAGAGGTATGCTGGCGAGAAGCTGGTCAAGGTGGTGGGCGAGGCGCCGCTGGTCAAGGCGATCAGCGGAAAGCACGGTGTCGAGATCGGCGGGTTCGCGGTGCACAGCTCGGGCAAGAGGGTGGTTGTCTGTGCGACCATTGATAACCTGTTGAAGGGGGCTGCGACGCAGTGTCTGCGTAAGTCTACTGCCCTGTGCTCATTCTCTTGACGTGCGCTTTACTAACTTTGGGCCCTACAGAGAACATGAACCTGGCACTGGGCTATGCCGAGTACGAAGGAATCCCACTATAGATGAGTAGGCTTGGGCCACAGAAGACGGCGCGACAGGCACGGATCGCAACCATGTGCAGGTTGACCTGATGGACAACACCACACGCCCGCCTGACGCAGTCTATCACGGTTGATGCGCCATGAACATTGCAGGATGGTCCGATGTCGCCCAGAACCTACGTACCTTTCGGAGGTTGCCGGGTCAGCTTTTCTTTGTTTACGTGCCAGCTCCTATTACGGCTGCCTGACCCGGGGGAGAGGTGGGGAGGCTTGTGAAGGTGAAGTTAAGGGAGGGAATGCCCTTGTCGCAGTCTTATTTCAGGCATCTGGCGTTCTGGGATAACCAAAAGGGTATAAAGCAGCTTGTACACCTCGCTGTACAACTCGGATGTTTTACTTTTTGAAAGTTTTTTTTCTATTTCTATAGTTGGTTTCTGTAGCGGTAGAACAAAAATCGCTTAAACAAGTTCTCGAATCATGGCATTGTGACTGTCAGTTGAAGTAACAAAATTCTGTTTTCGAGGAAAATGCCATGCTCCTAGTGAACTGGGCACGATTGATGTTGAACGAGTAGACTCCCAAGGAGGGACGGACTCTGTAGATCCCTGACGCTTACGTAAGTCACTGTGGTGGATGTGCTATGCAATCCAGCACCCTTGGACATCGCATCGCAACGTTTTTGCCGATCGCCAACATCAGACCCAACGACGCTTGTCCCGCCCGCAAACGCCTCCCGAAGATGTCGATGTTCAGGGCGAAGAAGCTCGACCTGGGCTGCTTCGTCAACATCAAGGTCATCCGCGACCACACCAAGCGGAAGGTGTACGAGAAGCACGAGGCGGAGAGGTACGTCCGCTCATCCGATCCACAGCAGAGCAAACCGCGCCCCCCGAACCCGCTTGCTTGCCCTGGAGGGACGGACTCCCGCTTCCGCAGAGAACGAACGGCGAAGAATGGGGGAAAGCAAAGGCTGACCATTTCCGCGCTCTCCCGCACACAGGCAAGCCCTCCGCTACATCATCCGCAACACGACCCTCGCGCCGCGCGTGCGCGCGGAGGCCCAGCTGCAGCTGACGCAGATGCACTGCTACACGAACCCGACGCAGATCCGCAACCGGTGCATACTCGGCGGCAAGGGGCGTGGTATCTTCAGCGACTTCAAGATGTCGAGGGTAAGCATACAGCCGTGGATAGTCATAGGGAGGTGGAGTCGGGGAGGTACAGGATGATGATGTTTTGCTGATTGCATTGGGTACTCACAGTATAACTTCCGGCTCCAGGCCATCGCGGGCTCCCTGCCTGGTGTGCAGAAGGCTAGCTGGTAGACGGGAGTGCAGGAGGGGGAAGAAGCGGCTTCGAGAACCGATGGGGAAGAGATACCGGTCCTGCTGTGACCTTGACTTTTCAGTCATGTTCGTGCGAGACGTTGCAATGACGAGAAACCTCTTGATACGCAGCCTCTGAATGGGACGACGCTGCCATTGTGTGATGGCAGGCCGTGAGAGGAGACCAATGGTGGCTCAAGATGAGCAGGCCTTGTATATCAACACTTTACAGGCGAAAGAAAAGCCTCCAGGTACAAATATCAAAAGACAAACTCCCAGTTGAAGTCGGCTGTCTGGCAATCCCTATTGTGCGTGTTTGTCTGAACGTCATCTATTGAGTCCTTGGGCGAGCAAATACTGCAAGTCCTTTGGGGAAGGGCTTTCCGTCAGCAAACGACGACACAAAGTTGACGCTGCTCTTGTGGGGAAACTTTTGGGAACAGACAACGCACTCTTCTTGCCTCTTTTTCTAATTGTTCGAAAGACCACTGACAACTTTTCGATCTGAAGTGGTCTAGCAGACTTTGCAGTCTTGCCTTCCAACTATTTGACAACAGCAAAGCCCGACTTCTTGCCGCGACCACACCACCGCTCTCCCATCATCTCCTCCTTATCCAGTTTCTCCATATCAACAACTTAGCCACATTGCAGTGGATTCCACGGCACAAACAATCCGACATGTTTCGACGACGATGGTCTGGTCTGCCAGAAGACCCTTCCTTCCCTGCCGACTTGGAGAAACTTGGGTACGTCGATAATGTCACCTTGCTTCCTGTCCCTTACTCCTCGTTTCGCCGTCGACAGTTACTTCGCGTGACCCTCAAGACACCAAACGCATCGCAGAAATTCATGATCAATGACAGCTAACCAAAAGCCCGCCCAGCTACTTCGTCGAGCCCAAGTCGGACGAGATCCGCCTGATCGACGGGCCGAACTACTACTTCAACTACTTCCACACCAAGAACGTGCGCCACAACGACTGCCAGCGGTTCGCCTTCAACACGGCCGTCGAGGCGCAGCTCATCCACCCGCGCCTCGAGGCCCTAGGCCTGACCAAGCTCGCTCTGCCCCTCGGCACCCCGACCACTGATCCCCATGTCCCCATCTTCGTCTCTCCAGACCTCAAGAGCAAGGAGCGCGTCATCCTCATCGTCGGCGAGAGCGAGCAGGAGCTGGGTGTCATCGCGCACAGGGTCATTGGCGGCGCGGGCGGCGTCGACAAGGGTAGCATGGTGGGGATCGTCAGGGCGCTGCTCCAGAACGATCACGACAGCGATCAGAACCACGCGGACGGCGGCAGCAGCATCAAAACCCCCGCCAACACCAATACCACCCCGGGTATCGTCCTCGCCAACACAGGCGAGCTGTGGTGGTGGCCCGAGGGCGGCCGGGGCCTCACCCCGCGAGGCGCGCAGGGCGCCCCGATGCGAAGCGCCGTGCACTGGGGCCGGTTCCGCGACGACGGCCCGAACGGCTGCGCCAACATGGTCCCGCGCAACGACAGCCCTGTCGCGCACGTCAGGTGCGTGTTCGAGCAGGTCCTGGGTAATAAGGACCTCGTCGCCGCGGACGCGGTGGTGCAGGTCGTGGGCGTCGGTGACGGCGCGGCGGCGGCGCAGAAGGTCCTAGACGGGGACTGGGCGCACTGGGGAGGCAGGGTCGGGTGCCTGGCCATGTTGGGCGGCGGGCTTGATGCTGGCTCGGTGCGGGATGATGGGTTCAGGGCGTTCCTGAGGGAGGTGAGTTTTTGTGCTGCTGCAACTTGCGGCAAATCGTGCCGCCATGTTTCTCGCCTTTCCCAGTCTGTGTTTATGCTAACACGGTACTTTTCGGAACGCAACAGAAGGCCCGCCTCTACACCACCTGCCACGAGCCGGCCGGCACCCTCCTCTCCGGGCCCGACGGCAACGACAGGACGGTTCTCCCCACCGACTACGGCACCTACGTCTTCAGCTCCGGCGAGCGGTACTACACGGAGCTGACGCTCATCAAGGCCAAGGACGTCCTCCTCGCCTGGCTGGCCGAGGTCGACCGCGCCGGTGCGGACTACGCCAACCCCGAAGTCGAGGTCACCTACGCCGACGAGCACGTCGGCGCCGCGCCGAACTGGGCTGATGGCGATGATGGCGGCGTCAGTGGTGCGTGGGGGGACGTCCCGGCCGATGGTGCGGCTGCTGCTGCTGCATTCCAGAAGCCGACGCGTGAGGAGGAGAAAGAGAGCGGGTTGGAGATCATCAGCCGCGAAGAGTGGGAGGATCGCCTAAGGAGGGAGGGCAAGAACAAGCAGGACACTGCTGTCCCTGACAATGTCTCTGTCGTCGGCAAGCCTAGAGAAGACGACTGAAAGCCGGGGGGCAACAGGCGCTGAAGCCGTTGTGGCTGGATGGTGCCTCGAGTCCCACAGATACAGGGCTCACACATGAATGGTGCGATGGTTCGGATACTTAATCAGAATGGTATCGATAGCAGCCTTGCTGTCCACTGTGACTTAGAACATGCCGGCCACCCGCTTGTGAAATTTTGAGAGAACGGATATTCGCACCAGCAGAAACGGATAACCAACGCCCATGCCCCCAATTCACACACCCAACACCTACGCATCCACACCTACATACCCAATACCTATACACCCAATACTTATATAACTAGAACCTATTAGGTGTGTGGGTGTTGAGCGGGTAGGTAATGAACAGGCTTAGATGATATGTTCTGATTGGCTGCTGCTATAGTGCGAGTAATATCCCAGGGTACCATCCGTTCTCAATTTTAATGCGGGTATCACTTCATACTTGATGTTTCCCCTCTCATTTTCCCTTTGTAGAGGCTATTTTGCCAGCCTTACCTAGTCCGATACCAAGTGACTGCCCACTCGGGCGGAGGCACCCAGTCATCTCTGGACATCGCCTGCCACGAGTCTCTCTAAGCTTTCAGCAGCGAGGTCATCAAGCCGGCATTCGGCTTCTCGAGATCTTCCAGGATCTGCTGCGCCCGAACCGTCCTCTCGATCAACACCTTCTCCTCAGCAGCCCACCTGCCACCGCTCTCCTCCGCGACCTTCCCGCCAGACCACAGGCCGAACCAACCCGACGACGACTTGGTTTCGCCCTTCGCCTTGGCAGCCTCTTCCTCCTGGACCATACGGCTCACCATGGCGGACCAATTATCCAAACCGGAGGCGAGGCACTCGCGGCATGCCTTCTTGGCTTCCCGGTTATCCTCGTCGTCTTGCAGGACCTTGTGTAGCTCCTCCTCGGCGAGGTCGACTCCCTCGCGTGTCCACGCCAGGCCGTCTTCGCGAGCCGACTCCTTCAGGACGTACATGATCTCACCAATGTGCAGGTCCAGGGCAGCTTCCTCACAGAGCTCCTTGCTGTCGCGGATGGGAGGTGAGGTCCCGTCGGATGGCGGCGGCGGGTACGGTGGGGGCTTGAAGAGGTTGAGCACTGTCTGCAGGGGGCCGTCCTTCTTGGGGGTCCCGTCGTAAAGAGCGGCAAGCTGCTCATCGGGGCTCTTCTGTGGCGGCTCACTGGATAGTGATCGCCGTGCCTTGAGTATAGATACGAGAATGGGTAGGGCAGCGGACGGTTCCTCGTGGCGGGCCTTGAAAGTCGCCAGTGCCGTCAGAGAAGTGAGCAGGTTTGTCGAAGGCTTGCGGTCGGCCTTGTCGCTCAGAACTGCTGTTTGGGGATCGATGAGTGGTGGTGCGCCGGGACTGTATATCTCCTCTATGGCCAAGTTGACAGCGTCGTCGTACATGATGGCCGCAGGCCCCACCACACCCTTGCACTCTAGCCAGTTCGCGTACGCCAGCGCTGCATCCATGCGCTGTTTTGACGTGAAACCCTCGGTGGACAGCAGCTTCAGGTAGCACTCGTCCGGACTGGGGAAGCCCGCCGGCACGCAGTCTTCCTCGCGCGGGGCGGATTTGGCACCTGGAGGTATTGGCTTGGGAAACGGGTTGGAGGGGCCCTTGACGACGTCGGGGGGAAAGACAGTCTTCCTTGTCTTGTCAAGCACCCAGCCTTCAACGTGCTCGGATGCCCTCGCATACGTCAGCAGCGCCTCGTAGTATCCTCGTCTCCAAGCCTCAGGCATGGCGGAAACGTCCTTTGTGCCGGCGGGGCTCTCTGGCCCCATGTCCTTGAGGCCCTTTCCGTCGCCGTCGGGGTCCTCGAGCCTGGATATGACGTCCTTCATCATCTGGCTGATCAGTGCCCAGTTCTCCATGACGACGTCTGGCCGGTTCCTCTCGGCCTCGGCGCCCCTCTTCCGCATCCTGGTGAGGAAAGACCACTCGTGTGGGGTTGGGAACTGGCGCTCAAGGAACTCCTGCTGGACGGCGAAAGCGGCGCTGGCTACGCAGGCCAAGAGTGCCCAGACATATGCGGTGTACTTGACGCTGAGGATGGCCTCGCGCCGCAGCCAGGTCTTGCGCTCGGTGGTGAGGTAGCGCCATTGTTGGCGCTGGAAGCGGGACGGGATGGAGAGGAAGGGGAGCTGTGGGCGGGCATTGTAGAGGGCGGGTGAGTTGTGGGTGAACGTCCGGGTCGGCTTGTCTGGTGTCTTGAGCTGGCGGAGGAGGAACCGCCGGAGAAGACGGGGTCGCATTGTGGAGGGGTTCTCGATGTCGGTCCCGATATAATTGAGTCGACGATTTTATGATGGACGGTTGTCGGGCGCGCTCGGCTTCTGTGCGAAGGACGAGCTCGTTCAGAGGGATGGGCCGGCGAACGGTAACATGGTAGTGCTAAGGCTGTATGCAGCTGAGCTGGTTGAACAGTGAGGAGGAGTGAATGCAATCAGTGAAGAAGTTGATGACCGCGATTGGCAATCTCGGCCGGATGCTTCGACCAGACTCGCTCGGCTGTTTGATGTCGTCGTTGCTGAGTAAGCAGGACCAAACTCCACTCTGCTCCCGGGATCCAACTTGCAGCTGCGGCTTGGGGCATGTAAGTCGAGAACCCCACCTCCAGGCCTGGGCCTGCCTGACAGGACGTACATCACCAGGCCTATTTACAGCCCACATAGGTACGGTGACACACCCAACATCACCCACACACCTAACACCCACACACCTAACAACCATACACCCACACACCCAATACTTATACAAACTAGGTGTATAGGTGTTGGGGATATAAATTGAGTGTGTGAACTGGGTGTGCGAATTGGGCGCGGGTGTTAGTTTAGTGCTAGCGACACACGGGGGTGTATACCCTCTGTTTTTTACGGGCGCAAATATCCGTTCTCTTGTATGTGGTATGTATCATGTCACTTCGTGAACCCGACGTTGTACAGGACTGCCATGTGCCTGGGACGACTGGCACACGTACAAGTCCACATCCCGCCGTAACCGCCCTCTTCCGGCGCTGTCATTGCCTGGAGAGGTGTGTGCCTGGTTGCGAGCCCGCCCCTGTGTAGATCCATCATGTGCTGCCAAGCGGGCCGTCTCATTCGTCGCCTGACCTCGCCTCCCATCTCTATCAGACATGCTCTCGGCTGAGCTGACACACCCGACCCTCCGCTGCCCGTTCAGCTTCCCATCTCGCACAAGGCAGACGGCACCAACCGTCTGTTGGCTGTGGTTCAGACCGGGTCGATCCATGTCACAAGCGTGCCAAAGATGAGATGTCTCTGCCGTCAGCCCGCCGTCTGCTCGTCATGTGCATGTGCATGTGCTAGGCCCTTCAGCCTTCTATATCCAAGACCGACTCCCTCCTGGGAACAGCCTCCATCGTTCTTGCACAGATAGATAGGTGCAGATATATGTGGGTAGGTTCCCCTGGTAGGCCTGCCTCTGCCAGTGAGGCCACCACCACCACCACCACCACGATGGCCTACATGACACCCACCACGAACACCCTCCACACCCTCATCCCGGGCTGGACCAACACCCCCATTCCCAACTTCTCCCTTTCTGCCGCAGGCCTACTCGTTCTCGCCGACCTAAACACCATCGCCCAACGGACCTCTCTCCGCGGCGGCTCCTCCTGGTTCGACAGCCTCCTCCTCGCCCCGGGTCTGCACTACCAGCAGGCCGCCGACGAGGTCGCTCACGGTGATGCCAAGACCCTGGTCGCCGTCGAAATCCAGCCTGATGGGAAGCCCGCCTCCCACCAGATCGTCAACCAGGCCGTTGTGAACTATGTCCTGCGCACTGCCAAGGAGGGCGAGACGGTCGTGCTGGACGTCGGCGAGATACCCGTAAAGTCACGGTCGTGGCGTACGGGACGAGCCGGTCGTGGTGGGCAGAGGGCATCGGTGTATACCGGGGGTCGGGGCGGTGGTGGCAATGGTATTGCCTTGCCCGACCTAGGCTGGACGGCACATCTGTTGTATCTGGCCAGCCCCCTACTTACCTGCGTGGCTATTGTGTTGATAATACTTGTAGGAGATTGTGGGGTCCCCCTTTCTCTCTAATACCAGAACTCACGGCATGTACGAGCTCCCTGCTAATCTCGGCACAGGGTGGGCACTCGCCCTCACCGCGGCCCTGATGCTCTCTCGCATCTTGAACATATTTGTCATAAAGCAGCGCTCTCGGCCAAAACCAAAGATACTCCCGCCGCCCTTCTCCCATCCACTCTCCCTGGACCCCAGGATGGCACGCATCACACAGTACACCATCAACATCAGCCCGGTCACGACGGTCATCCTGCGCGGCCTCTCGAGCGACCTCCAGGCCCTCACCACCACCGTCTGGCTCCGGCCCAAGACGCACGCCGAGGGCTACCTCGAGGCCATAGCCAAGGTCCTGGTCTATCTTGTCGCCGCCTGCAGCGGGAACGCCACCCAGGCAGGCAATCTGATCATGCTGGTGCTGCTGCTCATCAGCGGCGGCATGCTGGCCCTGAGCAACGCGAGCGTCAAGGGCCTGCGCAGCGGCGGGAGGGTTGTCGCGCCCTCCCCAGAGGACAGGTACGCGCGCGGTCCGCACGGCGGCGGCCGGTCGAGCGGTAACAGCAGCAGCGGCAGTGATGGTCGTGTTGGTGCTGGTGGAGGGGTTCAGAACGGCAGTGGCCACCGGTCCCGGGTGAGGCGGCGGGAGACTACTGAGTCGTGGACCGAGAGCAGCGACCTGAGCAGCCTCAAGAGCTCCGAGGACTCGCTGGAGAAGGGCGAGGGCCCTGGGAGGCTCCGACGGCACTCATCGACTGATAGCGGGCCGCCGGACTACCGCGTTCAGGTTGACACCCGCCTTGGCGTGCTGGAAGTTGTCGCTTCGAGGGGCCGATAGGGCTGATTGACGTGTTGATCATTACGAAGAGGAAAAGACTCAGGTATTGTAGCGAGTATAAGGTGGTTTGATGTAAGCTTTTGATGCTAGACCACAGGAGCACCCAGCGCAGGCTAGGATGTGTTGCAGCGGGAAGACAACAGGCCCTACGAACTGATGCGACGTAGAAAGCACAACAGGCAACTCCCTTTCATTATCCTTTCGTCCAATGATTTGGGCTCCGCCTCTTCTTTGAAGCTTACAATAGCACTGAACCCAACACGGCAGTTACGATGGGCGAGGGGCTGCTGGTACGTGCATACACAACACGCAGGCACATCACATTCTTCGAATGGGGGATTACGAGAAGGGCATGTTGCAAGGCCAAATCAGTGCATCTGACCATTAAACCACACCAGACCAAAGCCCTTGGCTTTTGGTTGGCTCTCCTAATTTGGTATCTATCATGACAAAGACGGATCCGCCAACCGAGAACCAAGAAGAATTAGAAAAATCATTTCCATTGCCCGTCGAACTTTCTCCCCTATCCACCGTTTCTTCAGTGCAGATAGGCCGCGCAATCGCAAGGCGCAAGGGAGAACGTCGGAAGCACTCCAGGATCTTGGCGAGGCGCTCTGAGCAGTCCGGGATGAGCCGGTCTCAGGGAAGAGAGAAAAGACGGGCAGAAAAGGCGGGAATATGAATATGTGAATGATCCTCCGCAACCGATGCAGTCTTGCCAGATAGTCCACAGTCCATTCAATCCGACCAACGATCTTCTCGTGCCTTCCTCCCTTTTTGGTGTCCCCCGGCACGCAGATGAGTGCTCGACTCTTGCGTGTCAGTGTGGGACAGACACTTTGGATGAAGAACCCCACCGACGCGATGTCTTGCATCCCAACAGGTAGAGAGTGGTGTCTCAACACCCATTCCCTGGGACGACCGCTCATCGACGACGACAGTGCCGCGGGAGTTCGACGGGTTCCCGCCACCGACGTCCCCCTCTCACACCTTTTGAAGCTCGCGAGCCTCACACCTCATGCCTCATCCTCAGCGCAGACGATGCCATCAAGCCCCTGACGATCCCTCATGCAATCAATGCTGGTTTTCTTTTGCCAAGCCGAGCCCACCACCAAACGCTTTCCCACCTGCGAGAACAAAGCCCGCGAAGCGCAAATGCAGTAATTAGTCGAACGGCGGGCGGGGACTCCCTCATACTTGGTACACAATTCAATAGGAGATGCTGTGACCCATGGTCGAAGAGATCTAAGAATAAAATAAGAATAGTTTGTTGAATCCGTGAGTCCTGTGTTCGTTTGGAGACGAAAATCCGTGTCAGGTGTAGTAAAATATGCTGTGGGCGCGAGGGTTGGAATTGACGCCGAAAAATGGACGGAAGAAGAAAAACCTAGGCCGACAGAAAAGAAAAGTTGACAACCGAGATGGTTCCGGATCCTGCTGTGTTGAGACTCAGGGCCTTTGGCTTCGCTCTCCCAACACCGTTGTTGCATCGGACTAGATGCTCCTGGAGGAAAGCTTCTGCCTGGGCGAGTGTTGGAATGGTGATAGTATCTGAGACCTGAACTGTCCAAGTGCCGAGAGATCGCGCCGCACAAGGTGGTTCAATAACAACGAGAGGTTGTTATAGAGTACCTATCGTTATGGACCGGCCGAGACTTGACCAATCCACCACTTGCCGGATGGGGCAGGGATGATATTCGAAAATGGTGCCGGGATGGAATCGAGAGCTAGGCTCAAGTCAAAACGCGTTGGCTCGAAGTATGCCGAGTTTGTCGCAGGAACCAGAAAGAAAACAGCGCAAGAGAAAAGTTGCAATGCGTTGGTACAGAAAGCCTCCAGAGTCTGGCCGCCAGGGGAAAAAGTCATGTTGCTCGTGTCGCGGCTTCCAAGAAACGACTGCCGCAGTGGCAGTAAAAGTACAGGCCGTTGCAGCGGCAAGTAGCGAGCGAGGAGCCCGCAATCCAAACGAGAAAATTTTGGTTGGTGGCGCTAAGAAAGCTCCTCGTAGCAGCGCACAACCTCACAAAGCGCGCGCAGCAGGGTCGAATCCAGCTCCCGGGCGTTCTGCCCCAGGATGGCGGCATCCTCACTGTCCTCGTCGCTATCCCTGGCAGCAGCGGCGGGCGAGCACTGTTTGACCGTTTCCACCAGTCGCTTGATGTTGCCGGCGATGGCGTCGCGGAGGTCACGCATGGCGGACTCGGACTCAAGAGAGGCGGAGAAGGCCGCGGCAGGCGGGGTGGTCTTGCGGTGCTTGTCCTTGCGGCCGCCCAGCGTGCCGGGGCGTGGCCTGACAGGCTTGCCCATGTGCGTCGCGCCGAGGCCGAGGAGCGAGGCTGCCTTCTTGGGAACCACGGCGGTCGACGCGGTGGTGGCGACCTCATCCTGGAGCTCGCGGATGGCCAGGTCGTCACGGTCCTGTAGCTCCAGGTCCGCACGGCTAGTGACGCCTGGAGGGAAGTTCAGAGATGGCCGGGAACGCAGACCGGGGTGGCCGGGGCTGCTTAGCAGGTGAGGCATCGCGCCGCAGAGAGAGTTCATGTAGTTGTAGGCGATAAGATGGGCATACAGGCCGTCGAGGAGGTAGTCGGTCCCGTCGGGGAAGATGCTGCGGAGCGCACCAACGCAGGCACTCACCTCGGAGGACTTGCGAGACGGGGGAGTGTTGGACCGCATTGAGAAATTACGGTGGTCCACCGGTGGCCAGAAGTCATCTTGCTCCTTCAGGAAGGGCGAATTGGGAGAAGGGGCTTGGCGAGATGAGAGGTGAAGCTTCTTGCCACGCAGAGAGAGCTTCTTGAGCTTCAGGTTGCCTAAAGATGACTTGCGGTCCACCGACCCAGACACGGATTCCGTGGTGTATGCGTCAAAAGCTGTGAACGCATAGTCGTCGCTGTCACGGCCGAAGCCACGGTCGCCACTGCTGGTGCCGCCGCGCCTGAGCTTACGCGAATAGCTACGGATCGTCTGCACGGTGAGAGACGAGGTGCGAAGCATTGTGTCGGGGAAGTTGCCGACGCTGATGCGCAGGTTCTCCAGGACTTCAGCTGCGACGCGGACACTGCCGATTGGAGCCTTGCTCGTAGGCGAGTGGGTGGTGAGGTGTGTCGTCGAGGTGAGGTGAGCGTTGGTGGCGCTCGAGTCCAGCCAGGACTGAACTTGAGTGACGATGGGCATTCTGGAATGGCTTTGTGTTTTTCGAAGCTTGTGAAGCAAACTTGGATGGTGTCGCGAGTTTTGATGAGTGTCGGACGCGTCGTGAGCAAAAGCTTCCTGGGGAGGCGGCGAAGGAGGCCGCAGCTGATAGCTTGACGTAGCCGTGAGGGCGTACTGTGGCTCGTAGATGGGTTGGCGGCACCTGGCATGAACGTTCTCGCACGAGGCAGCCTCGTTGGTCTCCCAGTCGTCTGGGGTATGGTATGACTGGGGCAGAGGGGCAGTCGACTGGTATGGTAAAGAGGGTGTTGGCGGCTTCGAAGCAGCCTCCAGCTCGACCTTGTGCGGGGCACAGCCTACGCGAACTTGCGTGGCCTCTCCGATAACAACAGTGGTGACTTGGTGGCTGAGAGAGGATCGCCTCTTGGGAACATCGACATGAGCAAAATGTTCTGCATGTCCCAACGCGCTCGACCGTGTTGCCGACTGGTCTTGGGATCCGTCCGAGTACTCAGCAGCTCCGACCGATGCCACGCCTCCGTCCAGGTCTGCCTCGGTCCTCAACATGTCAGGATCCAGGTCCACCCAGCTCCTGCCGCCCTTTCCAGGAGCTCGTGCAGCTTCCTTGCTCAGGCTGCTGGCCGGAGAGAGACATATTTCTCCTACTCCTCCGAGCACCGAATGGATCTCGACCGATGTGGCCGCCGTGGTCACAGACTGCTTCCGGGTCCGGACTGATGGCGACGACGTCCCAGGCTCGATGTCTGCAGACGAATCACTGACCCAGTCGTCGTCGAGGCCGTTGAGGAACAGCCTCCTGCTCTCCTTGTTGCCGTCCTTCTTCATGTGTATCTCCTTGATGGCGAAGATGTGATCCTGCCGTTGGCCTGGGAGCGAGCTGAGCCGGGGCCCGGGGCCTCTAAGAGGCCACTCGTCTTGCTGTCTTCCATGTTGTTGTCTTCTGGCGGTGTCCGTCCTGGCCCTAGCGTGCTCCCTTGGAGAGCACAAGGTGGTCTCTGAAGTCGTGCGGTGCAACATACCTGTAACAACACGACCGGGATTGCGGCGCGGGACCTGAGGTGGCTGGCATTCCAGGGCCAGTGACGCCGCCGGCGACCCTGCGGTCAAGCTCCTGGTGCGGAACACATCCTGCGATCTTGCCAGGTCCCTGGCAAGAATCTCTGGGAAAGTTTGCTCGATTGCGTCCATGTCGGTTCTCCCAGGTGGGTGGGTAGCAAACAGGACCTGAGATTCGGGAGGCAGAGGCGCACAGGAGCTATACTCAGACCTGGGCCCTCCGTGGTCCTCGGGCAGCAGGGACTAGCCTCTGGAAGGGCTGTCGCGATTGTGTTGCACAGGGCAAACTCTGGGATCGAATAACAAGACGAGCCCCTTCCGGACGCTCACTTGGTGTGGCGGCAGTTGAGGAACTAAAAAAGCCTCTCGTCACAACACAGGTCCTAAGCCCGTGGCGTGGGCGACTCAAATCAGGGCTTGATATTAAAGGGCTGCTATGCCAGCCAACGTCGGCCGCGGGAGGGACGGACGGACGACCGAACGGGCGGAGTGGCCCGACCTGAGGTCTGACAAAGAAGTAGACCAGACAAGCGGTACTACCGAGGAGGAGATGTTGATTAACAAATTATTTTGCGCGGACAGGCAAAGTGGACGAGAAAGAGAGTATGCGGCCGGGCTTCCAGCAGTGGTCGTCCCATGCGGTGACACGGGTTATAGGACCACAGCACCAGGACCAACTGACGGCTCGTAATGACGCAGCAGATCAGCCGAAACGGTGCTGCCACACGAGACACTGTCCCGGAGCATATAATAACGAGGTGATGGCGAGAAGCATGGTTGACATGTTCGAGACGGCAAGGGAAAAGAAGACATGGCCGATGCTTATCCCTCGCCCTGCTGCCACAAACTCTGTCAATCAGGTCCCTGCGGGTGCGAGAGTGAGGTGGCGGGCCACAAGCCAACTGAAATGACAGGGAATGGGACGGTGTCTCAACCCAGATCAGCCAAGACGAGCACGGCAAGGTCGTAAGATCGATTCCGCAGAGAAAGACACGAGGACGAGCAAGCCTCTGCCCGCGGGCTCGAAGGGAGAAGGTACACCATGGCTGCATGGTAGATTGTTGACTCAGGACCGGGGGTTGGCAAGCAGTGGGAGGGCTTGCAGGCCCTCTGCCGCCTTGCATATGCCGCCGCAGGGGTAAGAGGACGCCAGGACGAGAGCCACAGAGCTTGCAGCGCGCCGGTCTAGTGCAGGACTGCTGCGAGGCTTGCCGCGTGTCGGTGTGTTTCGACAGGTTCCGGTATTGACGAGGAGCTGTGGCACAGGACGCTGAGCGGTCCGAGTCGCACGCCCGCGATAACGGTCGATGTAGCAACCCGGTCGATGGGGGAGTTTTAAGGCGTCACGAGATGGGATCCCGATGATCCAGGTAGATTAACCGGGAAGGCCAGGAACCCCAGGAACCATGCTGCACAGATGAACGAACGCCCAAGCCGTTCGTTTGCGAAGCACCCCAGGCGGTCGCCCATGTTGACAGCTGCCTGCCGGGCGCGCAAAAGCAACCAAGGAGGCGCATCCAGACCGGAATAGTGAGCGCTGTGGCTTGAAAAACTCGTCGTGGACAGGTGAGACAAGGCCATTACGGAGGGCCCGGATGCCATCACGGCTCCGCGTGGCCTGGCCTCTCGCTTCTCTAGGCCCTCTGGCTCTCAGACCCGGCAGTCTCAGTCTGACGATGCTCGCTTGTGGCATGGGAGCCGTCGATAGGGGACTCCACAGGCGAGTGATCGTCGTCGACTCGGAATGGCGCCAGGATATGCTGCGCCCAGGCTAGAAGCGAGGACTGATCTTCCAGAAGCTGGCGTAGCAGTCGAGGAAAAGCAGCCGTCTGATCGACACTACTCCTCTTTCTCTGGTAGCGAGATCTGGGAAAAAGCAAGTGAGATCAGCGGATCAGACAATGGGACAATCAGAGGCTGGGTTGGCGGAGGTCAGTGGGTTTTCAGGACCAGAGCAGGGCGACGAGGTTGGATTGAGGAGTCGCCGACGGAGGTTGTGACCCTACTAGGGCAGGAGGACGTTTAGCAACCAAGGTTGGGGCTCATGCCCACCCCACATGGCGCTAGACCTAACCAGGGGATCCCATCTGGGCAGCAACAAGCACCCCTGGAAGGGGCGCCCAAGAGGGTGTCCTAGTACTATGCTCAGCAGTCCCAGCTGGTGTGTTCCTGATTAGCCTGGTCAGCAATGTGACTCTGTGATATGGTAATAATGAAGGAGGAATACTGCCTCATGTTATTACTATTATACATCAGCCAGATGACAGACACTGAGTGCTTTGCCATTCAGGGGTGGTGTCCAACGCTGATGTGAATATGATGGCACAAGCAAATCCAGTCCTTGCTGAGCTGACGCACTACAGTGCTGTAAACAAACAGACAGCCACGGCTGGGCAACCTGCACGGCGCAGTCCAAAAAGCAAAAGGCAATGGCTTGAGCATCATGCACCTGCACAAGCACCTTGCATCTCGGGCCCAATAGTCCAGATACTAGTCAGCCATCGAGTCCCGGCTTGGCCTCAAAGCTCCTGCCACACATGGTCATCAGTGGCCTGTTGGGTGTATAAGACTGCATAGCCTAGGCGTTTTCCACCCGTCTACCTGGGCATCTGCCCAGGCCAGAGCACTAACCATCCACTCCAGGGGCCCTCACAGTCCAACGGTCCAGGCGAACTTATGCAAGCAAGATGATGGGACAATTGGTTGGTTGGCCAGCCAGGTGACAGGAGGACAACATCGTCGCCACGGTTACTTCACAGCCCCGAGTCGCTGGTGTTGGATTCGCCGTGATGCTCCCCATTGAGAGATAGCAGCCCGATCATGCATTGGGCACAGGCCTTGGTCCCGCCGAAACGCACCCAACGACGTCCGTTCAGCGTCATATCTGGTGGACGGACCACAGTCCGGCCCGGCTGTCGGGCACCCGGAGCCCAATCCCGGCACATCATGGGCCGAGCTATCGCACCCAACCAGTCCGGGACCGGCGACAAGTGGGGCGGGCCCACCGACGACGGAGCTCCGGTCTGAATTTTGCGCCCTTCAAGGGGCGAGAGTGAACCTCTGGGTCGATTTTTTATTTTTTATTTTTTTTAAAGCGCCTTAAGTATCGCACGATGCCTGGGCCTCGCATCGCCGCCGGGAGGGCAACGTCAGCAACCCAAAGCGGTTTGCCTACATCACCATAACCTACATGCAGCCTCTCTCCCAAGTTGGCCCCGTCAGACATGTTCCACCACGACGATGAAAAGCACTGGGGCCCAGCCGGGCCCAACCCTGGTGTCCTCCAAGAAAATCACCCGGGTATGTATCCTGGAGGATACGATGACCACGACGTGACAACGCAGGGCTCCCACGACGACGACGATGACGACGTAGGGTCGACCGCTCCCCCATCAATGAGGAGGCAAAGGACTGCCCGTGCGTCGGAGGATCTGAGGAGGACAGCCAGCAACGTCCTGTCCACCATCGCCTCGCGCATCACGACGCGAGGCTGGCCGGAGCCGCCGCCTCCCCCGGACGGCGGTGCCAAGGCCTGGACCCAGGTGGCTTGTGTACGTCTTACTGTCAAACTATCAATACCTAGGAATTCAAGATATCGAGGCAGCTCCGAATTGAAGACAAACTTGCCTGATTTTCTGCACGAGTTGTGCCTGAGTTGTGCCAGTAGATGGTGACACTGCCGGATTGCTAACCTTGACGCAGGGATGGTATGCTAGAGCACACTGCTTGATTTGCCCTATTGACTTTCCAGTTCGAGTTACTGATGAGCCGCGCGCAGGATCGCCATCTTCGTGACCTGGGGATACTTGAACTCGTTCGGAAGCTTCCAGACATATTATGAGCAGACGATGCCTGACACGCCGCCCTCGACAATCTCCTGGATCGGGTCCCTGCGTAAGCACCATTCTTCTCCTCTTACGGCCTCCCGTCTGTCATTATTTGGAATATTCCAGAACGCATCACTTTGGGACCCGTAGCAGGTGATTAACATGGACCAGAAATCTGGCTGACCATGGTCGGCGGTGTCTTTACCGGTCGGCTCCTCGACGCCGGCTTCTTCGTGCCGACCTTCTTCGTCGGAGCCGCCCTCCAGGTCCTCGGCATGTTCCTGATGAGCGTCTCCAAGACATACTGGCAGCTCATGCTGACACAGGGCGTGCTTACCGGCCTAGGTGGCGGTATCTTTTTCACACCCTCGCTGGCCCTCGTGACTACCGTGAGTGACTGGCCTACGCCTCTCCTGGACGAGAACGAGTGGCTCTCCTCGTACATCTTGTGGCTGACCTTGCAAAGTACTTCGACAAAAGACGTGGGCTGGCCATGGGGCTTGTCACCACGGGAAACTCGGCCGGCGGCATCATCTATCCTCTCGTGGTCCGACAGTTGATCCCCAAGCTCGGCTTCGCCTGGACGTCGCGGGTCCTGGGCTTCATCAACCTGGCCTCGCTGGGCGTGTGCCTTGCCTTCATGCGCCCGCGCCTCCCGCCGCGCAAGTCGGGCCCGATCATCGACTGGGCCGCCTTCCGGGAGCCCGTGTTCGACACTTTTGTCGCGGGCTGGTGGCTCATCATGTGGGCCAACTACTACACCTTCTACTACATCGCCTCCTTCGGCGTCGAGGACCTTGGTATGACCTACTCGGCCGCCTCAGTCCTCATCATGGTCGTCAACGGCGCGGGCCTCCCATTCCGCGTCATTGTTCCCCTGTTCTCCGATCGCCTTGGGCCGCTGAACGTGCTGCTCCCCGTCACGCTCACATGGGTGATCATCGCGTTCTGCTGGCTGGCCGTGAGGGATATTGGCGGGTACTACGCCTTCACAGCCGTCTACGGTGCGACTTCTGGGGCGTTCCAGTGCTTGCTGCCGACTACCATTGCCAGCATCACAGACCGGCTGGACAAGGTTGGAACGAGAATGGGTATGGCTTTCGCGATCATCAGCATCTCGTCCATGACTGGACCTCCTGTTGGAGGCGCCCTACAGACTTCAGGGTCCCGCCCATATCTGGGGCCGCAATTGTGGGCAGCATGCTCTATACTGGCCGGTTTTATTCTCTGTCTTGCCGCCCGGTGGGCAAAGGCTGGACTTGGCTTCCGGGCGAAGTGCTAAGCCTATCACTTATGACCCAACACAATAATTACATTATATAACAAAAATATGAACTAGCATTTTGTCCTTCCCCAGTCGAGATATTAATGTACTGGTTAAACGTATCTTCATTTTTAATGCTGTCTTGTTATGTTATAGTGAAGAAGCCTAAAGGGAGGTTTTTTAAATACATAGGCTTGGCCCGTTTCACAAGAAACATAAGCTTCAGAGACTGTCCTCAGTTGTCTTATGATATGCTAGCCAGGGCAACTGTAGTAGATGGAGGAGTCTATCTCTACAAGACAGCTGGCGTGATGACACACTAGATATTCCTGCTGCCAGTTGTCTACCTTTATTGGATCACGTAGAATCCTAGGAGATTTTTTGATTACTGAAGTAACTACAAGAAGCATCGAGCTGCCCAGTCTCCCAAGTGTTGTTCACTTAAACAGCCGCAAGCAACATTTTGTGTTCCATGGGGCAGCAACGTACAGACACGGATGCAAGACAGATCTCGATACATGGACTCAAACACACATCTCCCTAGAGTAAACAAACAGTGTATCAAGTACCTGGGTACCTGAGCCAGCTGCCCTGCCCACCACAGCTCCACTATTGCGGTCGACCATGCAGCCCTCCCAGATGCCAGGTGCAGGTCAGAAATGAAAACCTTGTACTGAGTTTTGGATTTTGAAACTTTATTTCTTCAGTCACTCACTTACTTTCCTGGAGTCACGCTGTCAACAACACACACGCAGACTCCGTATCGGGAGCGTCAAACGCTCCCAGCTACCCAACCCTCGGCCTCAGCAGCCCATGAAAACATGCCAGTCCACGATTGTAGACGAGTGCTTGTCTGAGTTCCTTTCTTGTAGCATCCGAGGTGGAAGTCTAGCTGAACACGAAATGAGTTCTCTGGCTGTCCTCACTCAACATCCGGCGCATAGAAGAGATGAGCAAACGTCTCGGTCAGACTGATGCAGGAAGACCCGAGAAATCTGTTGGCTTGCTTTTACTATTCTTCGCTGCAAGCACCACGGCAGAAAGCTTGTGGTCGGTATTTCCATGATGAGCCCTGTGCATGATGACAACGAATATGTGGCATGGTTTCTCGGTAACGAAGTAAACTTGAAAGGAGTCAGCACACAGTAGATTATCCTCTTGGGAGCTGTTCCACTGCAAAAGGGTGCAGGCGACAAAGTTTCAGGCGGTTCGGGCCGCAAACGCTACTGTAGATCGATCCACCAAGCTGTGGGGCTAGCGTGCTGGTGAAGAGACCCCTGCTTGTAAAAGGATGCAGGGGCAACTTACACCCACTCTGTCAGTGAATGCCCACATTCACCTTTCCAGTCACAGATCAATCCGTTCAGTATTTATAGCCTAGATTTCAGGCCATTTGGTCTCTTCATTTCCATCCATTCTTCCTCACTTCAAACTTTCTACCCAAACTGCTCATCCAAGCACAAGAGACTGCTGCTTCGATGGACTACACTCGCGGTAGCAGGGGACGCCGGCAGCAGTCATCGGTCAAGCACCTAGACTGACAATCTCCAGTCACGACATTCCGAGAACACAAATGAGGCGTTTGCAGACAATCATTCCGAGGACATGTCAGACGAGCCACCCCGCCTTCAGTCGCACCCAAGAGCAGGTAACAAGCGCATGGCGCAGGAACTGGACGACGCAGCTAGCAGCACCCGCAAGAGAAGGCCCGGACGACCGCGTACCGTGGACAGGGACGAGAACGACGTGCCCTTGTACCGGCAGACTAAAGGTAGGAAAGCTGGTCGGCCGCCCAAGAAGCAGCCGCGGGAGGAGGAGGAGGAGGAGGAGGAGGAGGAGGAGGAGGAGGAGGAGGAGGAGGAGGAGGAGGACGACGACGACGACGACGACGAGCGGCTCCCTGATCCCCCAAACATGCCACCAGATTTCGAAACCTCGCCATTCACACTACAGGAAATCCTCTCTGGCCAACCCTGCATGGATCAGTACGAACTTCTCCGAGGCTTCTGGGTCGACGAGGCCCACTGGACCGAACTGGACGAGAATCTGGCGCAGTCAACGAACAACAACTCAGCCCAACGTTCCCTCTGGCAGATCATGTGGCAGGTTTTCAGGGCCCCGCTCACCGATCTCTTAGGTTCGGCCTGGTAATTGATACCTCCACAGCCTGGAACATCTTGACAATACGCAGCGACTCGGAGGCTTCGGCAAAATACCACCACGCCTACGTGACACTGCTTCAGACCGAGAAGCTGCGGGAGCTGGCCTTGCACCCCGTTTGGGAGGGCAGGATCGACGTATTCCGCTATGTGCTCATGTGGTCGGTCCGCTGCAGCATAGAGGACCACGACGATCCACTCGAGCCTATTAAGCCATTGAGCCCCCTCATAACCAACAAGATCAAATCCAAATCGGCCAGGGCTGAAATCGCCTACGAAATCACCAGACACAATGGCATCCGCTCTCAACCTTTGATCGACAGGCTGTGCCGGAAGCTGAGAGCCATGGGCAATCCCCGCCCCGCTGTATCGACCGTCGAGAAGCAGTTGTTCATGTTGAGCAGTGCATATATGACAAATGTCATCGAAGCTTTAGGCCCCCTCCTGCATCTCCCCACCCAGACTACCCTCTGGCCCTCTGCGAGTTCCTTCTACGGAGATTGGAAGAAGGCCAAGCCCCTGGCGGAGACCAGGTGGCCGAGGAAAGCGACTGACGTCGGTCTCATGACCAAGGCCTTTGTCCAGCGAATGAGAATGGAGTCAGCTTGCAGAGATCGCCTCACTGGGGCCGGCTCATACCTCTACGACATCGGTGGAACACACTGTTCCGCTACGGCCACATGTTACGATGACATCGAAGTGGACGAGCGCGCTGGCCCGACCCAGAGTCAGCTCGATGTCGTCAGAGGCCTGGTCATGCCGCCGTTTGGCGCATACCTCCCGGCGTCCCAGTGGCGCATCAACGAGATCGAAATAAGCACGAATACGCGGACGAACCTGGGCAGTTCGGTCTCTCGGTCACGGGCTTCTTCGGCTGCCCGCAGTGAGCGCCGTTCGTCCACCCACGATGAAGGAAGGACCCTGCCAGCAACGTCCCTCCTTTCTCCAAGGGGGTTCAGTTCGACTCATCCAGACCGGCGACCCCTGCACGAGGAGGGTAGACGTGAGGTAACACATCTGTCCTCATCTCCAGCCCAGAGCTCTGCCAGTCGAGACGAGTCAGTCAGTCATGGTCACCAACAACAGCCTCGGAACCGCAAAGCTACGAGGGCCATCTCCTCCGAGGTTGATCGATTCTTGAAGAGTGACGACGACCCAGTTGTGTGAAACAATGGGAGACCACCTGCAACCATGAAGTTAATGGTGCAGAGCTTCTGTTCGTGGGCAAATTGTGGTTCGTCCACAATTGGTTCTCCCACTAGGGCTTCAAGTAATTGAAGGTGCAGCTCGTCAAAAGGATCATGGAAGAAATGATGAGAAAGAAGGTGCCGGAGACTATCCGCAAAGATGCTTGGCCCTTAGAGACCCACAAAACAGCCACAGTGTTGCAAGCTGGGACGAGAAATCCCCGATCATGGCAAGGCAAAATTCCGGGGTGGCAGCACCTAGGTGTATGTATAACTACATTAGACTGAATGACCAGTTCAGGAAGCAAGGTATAATATTGCTTCCTAAGGTGCGTTCATTCTGTCCGTGTGCATGCCTGCAGGCGGATAACACGAGAGAGAGACCGAGAACGACTATCTCGGTCGTTTCTCCTGTCGCCATGACGTCGCACGGATGCTCGCTGTCGTTCTCCGCATCCCCAATACTGCTATTCGTCAGACGGGGCGAGCCGCTACTGCAGTGCCGAATACGGAGTGGATTCGGGCGTGGAGACGGCAGAGGGTATCTTGGTAGACTATACTGTGGCACCGTTGATGCCGAACACGCGGGAAGGCCCTGCAGCCCTGCATCGGGCCCCGTCCCACCCACACGTTTACTGTTGATTAGCAACTATTGTGGATGAACACTGCGGACAAGCGGTGGACACCACCAGAACAGTCCCTTGATGCCCCCTATTATGGGAACAGAATCTGTGCGACCCATCACTTCATGGCGCTCTAGCTTAATTGCTCTGGGAACAGAAGCACAGCCCCGAGCGGCTACTAGGAATTTCGCAAGATGAACATAAGAAGGGCCTCTGTTCCGCATCTGAAAGAATCAACTGTGATCATCATCTCAGGCAACATTGGGTCTCTTTCTTCTGATTATCACAATCCAGAGCCATACATATTGCAAAACAACATGAAGTTTTCAATCTTCTCTGTTGCCCAGCTGTGCCTTCTGGCCTCAGCCCTGCCTCAGCCCTGCCTCAGCCCTGCCTCAAAATGGGGCTGAAACTCTTCCTGAAGGAGAATGGCGGGCAGGTGGTCCTGATGACTGTGAGTCCAACGGAGAAGACCCCCTTCTCACACCATAACCCACTGACGCCTTATAGTTCGTGGCCCTTACCCGATGATGAACACTCTGGCGAACCGCGGCTTCCTTCCCCGTGACGGCCGCAACATCACCCGAGAAAATGCGATTCATGCCCTGGGTACTGGAATCAACTTCGATGCCGAGCTGGCCGGTATCATGTGGGGACCAAGCCGTCATCGCCAACCCCGAGCCCAACGCGACCTTCTTCACGCTGTGAGCCATCCCCACCGATTTCAAAAAGTAGCTCGGCTCCTAACCATGCGTAGGGATAACCTCAACCGCCACAATGTCTTGGAACATGATGCCAGCTTGAGGTATGTACGTGCGCAGTACCCAATCGCAGAAGAGACTCCCACTAACACTCCAACTACTAGCCGCTCTGACGCCTTCTTCGGCAACAACCACGTCTTTAACCAATCTGTCTTCGACACCTCCACCGTCTACTGGACTACCGACATCCTCACGCCCAAACAAATCGCGAACAGCAAGTTGGCACGGCAAGTCACCTCGCGGGCTTACAACCCCGAGTACATATTCAAAACGACCACCGAGGATTTCAGCCTCGGTGAGGTCGCCGCCTCCTTCATCGCCTTTGGGAATCTGCAGGATCCCACCGTCGAGAAGAAACTCGTCACCTACTTCTTCGGTATGTCTGAGTGCCAAATCCATGTTGTCGCTGAATGTCACTTCTGACTGAAGTGGCTTGGACAAAACAGAGAACGAGCGCCTCCCCAGCGAGCTGGGATGGACCGAAAAGGAGGCACAGGTCAGCCTGACTGATATCATGAGCGCCACAAACGTCCTCAGGAATGCTACCAGTCTCTTCACTGGCGCTGGGACTCCACACAAGGTCCGCCGTGATCTGCACGCCGGCTTCTAGGCTCTCGGAAGGGTCTGCGGTCTAGTGTGCCCGGAGCTGTGTGATTTATCTTTCTAAGAATTTGCTGGTGATGGATTGGGACGCCAGAGATTGATCAATGAATTCTCAAAGTATATGGTTACAAGGCTTGGAAAGTCTTATTTACTCCAGGCCACAATCAACTATTTTCTTTCCAGCTCAGGTTTCATTTGATACGACATTCTATTTTCCCGCGCCATTAGCTCAACCCTACAGTATGCTTCTATTCGGTCTATTTCAGGTTATTCTAGTTTTTGAGTACAATCGAGGCTCAAATGCCTGAATCAGGACTGCTAGATCATGAAGTCGAACGGCCACTTTGATAAGACCGTTCCCCCTCTCCCTTCAGACCCAGAAGACCCTTAGCTAACCTTGCCCACCTGTCCCAGAATTAAATTAAGCATTAAACCACATCCTCGCGATCCTCAAAGCACGCCCGTACTCGATATCCAGGTAGTAATACCTTGGGCTAACACCAACGTGCACAGCCCTAATGAAGCAATTAAGCAAATGATAGTTAATTGTTGGGTATTAAGGAGAGAAATCTCCCCGCTATTAAACGCTCAGAAGGAGCCTATTTATAGGCTAGCGCTAGCGTATAGGCATACAACCCTCGCAGCGCTAGCGTATAGGCATACAATCCTCGCACCTTTCAACACACCCCCCATCACGAGTATCATCATCCTAACGATAATAAAAGATATTCCGTTTCAATAGCTAAAAATATAATTTAAATGTTTCGCTATAATTTATACTAAGATTACTATATAAATATCATTTAATATTTATATATTTTGCTTATATCATTTTTAATTAATTATTTAAACGCCCCTCTTAGCAATATAAACCCTATACTTATCTTAATCTTAATCTCCTATAAGCCTCTTTAAGGGTAAGGCAAGGCAATGCTTTTATATAAATATTGGCGAGATTATCTTTAAATGCGATATAATAAATATTATATATTTCTTTAATTTCTTTATAAATAAAGTAATAATAAATAGCGATATATTTTAATTAAGCGTTAACTTTATAATTTTAAATAAGGTTTAATGTTAATTAATTATTAATATATAAAATAAGCAAACATTTAATATGCTTAATGCTTAAATCTTTTAATGCTTAAATCATTTAATAAAGATATAATAATATTAATAAACATACTATATATTCCGCCTTGCAAGTGGATTTTATAACGGTAGATTGGTGTTTTAATGATTAAGCAATTAAGCTGCCATTAAAGAGTTGCATATATCCGCTAAATGCTTTTAAATTATTTAAATTAATATTATAAAAAGCATTAGCATGTATATTAAGTATGGTAAATTAAAATAATAACGTTTATTTTAAAAATCACAAGGCATAGTTTAATGTATGCTAAATGTATTAAAATATTCTCTTTGCAATATTTAAATAATGAATTATAGGCTTTGCATTAAATATTAAGAGCATTGCATATAAAAACGCAAAATTAAGTTTCATTTTAATAATAAGAAAATTAATAAATCCGGTAAGTAATTAATATATTATTATATTTATTATAATATCATTAGGTTCCTTTTATTATGAAAATAAATTTAAATCCATAAAAGTTTATCTTTAATTGCAATTAAATATATTAAAGCATTTTAAAATCCATTAAGCATATCCCTTTTAAGAAATGCAAATTTTATTATTAGTTTATGTAATTTCCAATCTAAGTAAATATTTGCAAAGATTAAAATCCTTATACTTAAAACATTGCATAAGCTTAATGTAAAATTTATTAACTTAAAAGGAACTCTTAATAATAAGAATATTATTAATATAAATAGTAATAATAATTTAATCTTTAATAAAAATATAAGAATTAAATATTATTTCCATTAAATATTTAATTAATTCCTTTTTAAAAGTATTAAACTATTCGCAACTTAATTATTTAAATTTATATAGGGCATTAAGAAGTTTTAAAATAACTTATTAATTATTAAATAATATTTAATATCCTTGCAATAATTATATATAAACGTTATGTTTTAAATAGCTATATAAATATGCTATTTTAATATTAAATTGCTAAAGCCACCAGCCCATTATAACAGCAATAGCAATAATTAATTTTAAACTATTATAGCGCGTTATAGGGCTATAAGTATCATTATAATTTATGCTATAAATTTATATATATTTATAAGCAATAAGTTAAGCCTTATAACAAATAAGCTTATTAAAAGCATTAAACTTCTTTATATATACCTAGCAAGGATTAATAATATATTAATTTACAATAGCAAGTATTTTAACTTATATACTTATATTTAAAAGTAATTTAAGTTTTCTTTTAATAGCCTATTATTAAACATCCCTTTTATTACTCTTTATAACCTATATATATATATTAAGGATATTATTAATATTTACCATGCTAGCAAATAATGCTTAAATAAAGATTTAATTAGGGTAATCGGCATTAATTAATATTAATTAAGCAAGATTTAACATAAAGTTTGCATTAATTAATGCTAAATTATTAAAATCTTTAAAATATTTTATAATAATATTTACATTTTCTTTTGCTTTTCGCAAAGGCTAAATTCATTGTTTTTAAGAATTGTGGAACTATATGGGTCCTATAAGTTTAAGTAATTCATTAATGGGTTTCGCAAGTTTAAGCGGTTTATCTACGGGTTTATTTGCAAGTTCCGCATTATTAGCAAGTTTTATTAATTAAAACATTAATAATACCTTTATCTTAAGTAATATGTTTTCATTTAATTAGTTAATTATCCATGCAATCTTTATTACTAAATTAAATTAAGTAATATGGCTTAATATTGCGGTTATAATGACTTTTTAAAGTAATATAAATAAATAAAAAATAATCTTGCCTTTAGCCTTAAATCCTATAAAGTATACCTTTTTAGCTTTATTTAATAATTTCATTCTTAGTTTGCAAGCCTTAATAGGGATATAAAGGTATATAGAGCAAAAGTATAATTAAAAATATTTAATATTAAGCTTTTATTTATAAAGCGCCTTAAATAACGTTATTTAGCATAATAAGGCTAAGTATAGTTTTTAATTCCATAAGTATATTATATAGGAAATTGCTTTAAGCTATAAGAATAAGTAATTTTCATTGCAAATTATTATGTAAGTATTAATAATAATAGTATATATAAACCTTTTAAGCATGCTATTTAACTTATGGTAATAAAGGGGTAATTTCTTATAAATAATTTTATATCTTTAAAATATTGCAATAATTATTTTATTTATATATTTACCTTCGTTATTTAAATTAAATATCTTAATTTTCGCGCTAAATTAAGTTTTAATTATGTTTAAAAATCCCTTAATAACGTTTAAAATATTGTCTTTTTAAGTAATAAAGTAAACTTAACAAAATTAAATATAATTATTAATAAATGAAATAAAGTATTAAGAACCTTTTAATAATTTTACTAAGAATTTACTTAATAAATTAAATTAAATATATTTAAATAGCTATATAAATTATTGTTTTAGCAATAAATATAGGCATTTCTTAATAAACTTTATAAGTTAGCATAGTTTGCAATGAAAATTCATTAATTTATTTAGCATAACGTCTTTATCTTTATATAAGCGTTAAGCAGTTAATCTTAATAAATTACTATAGCTAAAAGCTTTATAAAATTTACTATATATTATAAACATTATAAAGTTATTTTCTATTATTTAAATTTTAAAATTTCTATATTAAAACTTTGCCTATAATATCTTGCGAAATTTATTATCTTTTAATAATAAAAAGATATTATTTCCCTATATATTTAATTAAAACCTTTTTTAAATTATAATCCAGCTAAATAAATAAGTATTCCTTAGCGCGCAATTATATAAAACGTTAATAAAAATGCTTTTAATAATTAATTCATTTAATAATTACAGGAAGATCTTTATAAAGCTAATGCTTTTTATAATAAGTTAATTATTACCCATAATGGTAATTATACTTAAATGTAATTATAAGGAGCTAAAGTCTTTTATGCATCTTATTATATGCTTTAAAGCATTAAAATTAAAAATTCATAATATTAAAGTATTTATAGTTATTAATAGCTTTATTATATATATTAAAACGTTAGTATATAATATTATTATATCTTTCTTATTATTATTAGAAATTTTAATAACTTCTTTATTTATAGCTTAATTTGCAATAGCTTATTTTTTACCCTTTTTTTATTTTTAATTAACTTTATATTTAACAAGCTTTATATAATTAATATATAAATAGTTAATAAATATAAAGTTTTATGCATAATATTAAGTGCATTCTTTATTGCTTAATATAAAGTTAATACTTATTAATATAAACTTTACAGCCTTTTTTATACCCTTTAATGCTAACTTCTTTTAAATAAAGATAAAATAGGCTTTAAATTGTTTAACCTTTATATAAAAAATAATGTTTATTATCTTAAGTTTAATTTTAAAAAACATTATAAGGTTTTAGCTGCTTAAGTTATTAATAATATTATTTATAATATTTAATAATATTATTAAGAAGAAAGAGCCTTTAACCTTATTGCTTTTAAAAAGTAACTTTATTAACCTCTTAATTAATTATCTTAATATTAAGGTTTTAATATAAAGTTTTATTTAAAGGTTTTAAAAAGCGTTTAAATAGCCTTATAAGTTAAAACTATTTTTATATTATAAGTTTATTAATTAATAAAAAAGGTAAATAATTAAGTTATTAGTATTATAATTAAATTAATTAATTAGTGTTTTTTAAGCATTAAAAGATTTTTTGCATAATATAATGAATATTATAAAGCTTAAATATATTAAGCTTAAAAGCATAATAAAGGCTTGGTTATTAAGCTTTTCCCATTTTATAAGAGCTGCATCCTTATTTAATTATTTCTTAATATTTATAATATATTTACTAAGGCTAATAAATTAAAAGCTATAACTTTATGCTGCCCTTTAATTTAGGAAGTTGTCTCCTTTTAAGTTTAACTTTAAGAAAAATAATGAATTAAGCTTAAAGTTAAGTATATTTAATATCTTTTAAATAATATTTATATATTTCTAAGCATATTTTAAATAATATTTATATATTTTTATTTATCTATAGTAATTAGCATTAATTAATGCAGGTAAATAAATGAAAAAAAGCAAGTAATTAAAATACTAAATAGGGCAAAAGTGCTGAATTATTATAAGTTACTATTAACCATGGCAACTATCATAGGGTATAATAATGATATATAAGCAAAAGCTAGCGATATTAAAATCCTAATAATTTAGATATAAAAATAATTATAGAAATGGGGGTATTAATGTTTCTTAATGTTTTAAGATATTTTAAGCAATGCTAAGCTTATAACTTAATGAAGCAATTAAGCAAATAATAGTTAATTATTAAGTGTTAAGGAGAGAAATCTCCTCGCTATTAAACGCTTAAAAGGAGCCTATTTGTAAGTTAGCGCTAGCGTATAGGCATACGACCCTTGCAGCGCTAGCGTATGGGCATACGACCCTCGCACCTTCCAACAAGCCCGACAACTCAAGTCATAAGCAAGCGTGGCTGCGCCACCGGGGGTATCAAAGTCGAAGCTGAGGTTTGGGGATGTGAAGATAACGATGGCGTAGCACAGACCGAGGTAGCCAAACAGCAAGGCTACGAAGAGCCGAATGACGGACGACATCCTGTCCACGCCGCCCTCGCCGAACCACTCCTTCAGCTTCTGGGGTGTCCAGTATGACCTTCCCAGGAGCAGTCTTGCGGCGAGCCATACGAGGGACAAGGGATAGACGGCGAGAGCAATGCCAGCAGGGATCTTGTAGAACATGAGGGCGGTCTCGTCGCTGTCGCTGAGCAGCTCCGGGTTGCTGAACAGCCACGTTTTGGAGCACAGGTCCTCGGCCGCGCAGGACGAGGTGCCGGGCGCGGCGTCGATCCCGGACGCGAGGCAGTCGTACCGCTGGAAGACCTCGCGGTCCTGCAGCCGGAAGGCGTGGATGGTGGCGCACCACTGGGCGAACAGCACGACGTGCAGGGCCCACCTGATGGCCTTCCTGGGCTTGGAGTCCGGGTGCGAGCAGCGCCAGGGGTGAAAATCCAATGAGGAGATCAAGGCCCACGTCACGATCCATTCGTCCAGTGACACGGGTTCTGCGCCGTTGGGTCCGCGCACGAGCGTGGCAAGCCCCCACCACCCTATGGAGGCGACGGGAAGGACCAGCTGGAGCCAGCCCGTGGCGCTTATGCCCTTGCACTTGTCGGGGTGGAACAGAATCTTTCGGAGATCCAGCAAGACTAAGAACGCTGTCATGGTCAGGTAGGACCATGCTTTCATCGCCGTGAAGCCGTAGGCGCTGTCCCTCGGGGTAGACGGGATGACCTTGAAGCCTTCGAGGCAGCTTGCCAGCTCGCACCATGTATATGTAGTTGAGACCTGTGGCCCATTACTGGGAGATGAGTAGACCCTGTACTCAGGCCGGGAAATGAAGTAGTTGTGTTCTTTCTCCGTGCGGTGGTCTTCGATCCACTGCCGCGTGAGGGAGCCACCGGTGAGGTCTACCTCAATCAGGGCACAGTCGACCTCGGCCGTGGTGTTTTTCGAACAGCTTTCAAATAGACTATTTTTGTACAGGGCAAATTCAGGCGTGCTTTCGTCCGTATGGGTGACTCTCTTTGTCACGGCCGTGATCTGGTAGGCGAGGATGCAGCTCTGGAAGGCGACCGCTGCGAGGAGACCGAGGTAGATGAGGCACAGGGCTATGGTGCGCCTGATGCTTGAAAGATTTGCTGTGCCGAGTTGTGTGCGACACTCCGTACTCTTTCCCCGGAAGTCGGAGTCCAGCTGATGTTGTGGTTGTCGGTAGTGACCTCTTCTGTCGTGGTTGTGAGTTTGGCCATGGTTTCTCCTGGTATTCTCGTTGTGATATTCTCTGTGATCATTTCTGACATTTTCATACCCGCCGTGCCCCTGATTATGTCCTGTGTTGGCACGGTGATGATTCTCACGATGTCTTCTAGCGTTTCCGGAACGGACTTGGTGCATTTTGGAGGCGTTGAAAAGGGGAACAGAAAACAAGGAGAGACAGGGTAATTGTCCACGACAACGATAACGGCGGAAATAAGGGAATTCGAGTAGCTGCCTGCCTATAAGCAACATGATTCAAATCTTCGGAAGGCAAGGGAAAATCACTGAGGCTGTCCTGGATAGCCACTGGATTTATATAATTGACTCCCAGTAAGGCTGCCATCACCGAGCATGCTGTCCCGGACTCAGCAGAGCCTCAGGCATAGCCACCTCATCGAAGTGTATAATCTGCAATTCAATCCTTATTCCTACGTCTTCTGGGAGTCACAGAGAGCGGTACCCAATACGAAGTGTTGGGGAGAACACTTGCATAGTAAGCGAGCTGAAGCACAGGGTCAATTATAGCTGGTGGGTGGTGGCCCACCGCTTACAATTGGGCTGACAAGCTGCCACATGGATTTGATGTGCGTCGCCAAGAACGAAGATGTGCATTTATGGCCCCATTGACATCTACCGGCAGAATTGTGGTACTGTAGATGAATCCAACAGCCCACCGAGCATGGAAGGATTGGGGTGAGTGAGCCGAATGATGGAACGGCCGTTGTCGCCACTTTTTCGGTTCCGTGACGGGCCCGAGATCAATGACGGAAATTGATGAATATGGCACAGAAGTTGACAAGTGATCAATTGTATCAGCGCATTGACAGCAAAGAGCTACTCAGATGACAATTCCTGGCTGACACACCATTGAGAATTTATGATGAGGTATGCTCAAGAGCGGTGAGCTCTCTGGGAAGGCTCTCTGGTCCTTGTCACAAGGATGTATCCCTTGTGAACATGTGAGTTCTGATATACAAACAAAGATCCAGGTTCGACATGCAGCAGAAAGAATGGAGAATGGTTAATGGATGGTATGAACTGGTGGAGAAGGTGACAAAGGCCCCTCCCAGGTAACACTGCTGTCACTAAACCTTGCCTACAACGAATGTTTAGCTCCCTTCAATCCCTGTGACCCTGCGGCTCTGGCCCAGACTTTAAACATCGAGCCCTGTACCCTGCACCTGTACCCTGCAACTGTCACTGTGGAGCTGATAAGATAAGCCCTACCAAGCCCCTCCACTCTCACCCGAGGTTGGTTTCTGCCTCAGCTCAAGTTGGCTTGACGTCAAAAGAAAGCTGTGCCTAAATTGAAACGAAACCTTGACCTCCGACACATCTACTTCCTCCTCCCACCACTAATCAGCTGTACCACATCTTCGCACCGTTCCTCTTTCCTCTCTGCCCGGCAAACGTCAAACTGCTGAGCACAGCACTCACCTGACCCCCCCCCCACCTGCCCACACAATACCGCCAAGATAGGTCGCCGTCGGCGCGCACGCCACCAACAGAAAGGACCCCGCTCCTGGCAGAAGCCGCCACGAAGGAAGATGGGCCAAGAGCAGTCCGGTCTCCTCGACGATGACACCCCTCCAACCACCCTGTCCGAGCGCTCGCTCTCTGCGGTGGCCCAGATGATCAAAGATGGACACGCTCGCAGGATCGTGGTCATGACCGGTGCTGGCATCTCCACTGCCGCTGGAAGTGAGTAACTGTCTCGCCTTGGTCGCACGGCCGTCCCGAACTCTGCGCGACCACGAGCTGACCTCATGGCGCATAGTTCCCGACTTTCGCTCGCCCAACACCGGCCTGTATGCCAACCTCGCTCGCCTAAACCTCCCGTACGCCGAGGCCGTCTTCGACATCTCCTACTTCCGCCAGAACCCCGACCCCTTCTACGTCCTTGCGAAAGAGCTGTACCCTGGAAACTACTCCCCCACCATATCGCATGCGTTCATCGCGCTGCTCGCCAAGAGGGACCTCCTGCGAATGCTCTTCACCCAGAACATCGACTGCCTGGAGCGACAGGCTGGTGTCCCTGGAGAGCTGATCGTCGAGGCGCACGGCAGCTTCGCCACCCAGAGGTGCATCGAGTGCAAGACGCCATTCCCGGACGACAAGATGAAGGAGTACGTGTTCCAGGGCGAGGTGCCCCGCTGTGTCGATGCAAAGTGTGGTGGCTTGGTGAAGCCTGACATCGTCTTCTTCGGAGAGCAGCTCCCCGAGCCGTTCCACAAGAACAGGCACGTCCCTTCGTACGGCGACTTGGTCCTGGTCATGGGGACGAGCCTCACTGTGCAACCGTTTGCCAGCCTGCCGGAAATGGCCAGGGACGAGACGCCCCGTGTTCTCTTCAACCTGGAGCGTGTCGGATCCCTGGGATCCCGGCCGGACGACGTGTTGGTCCTGGGCGACTGCGACTCGGGCGTCCGCAAGCTCGCCGGTGAGCTGGGCTGGGGAGGCGAGCTGGATGCAACGTGGCGGGAGATTGTTGGTGACAAGGAGGCAGAGAGGCAGCTGAGGAGTGCCGAGGAGCGGGAGGCTGCGATGCGGGCTGAGGTTGAGGACTTGGCGGATAAGGTCGGGGAGGGCCTGAACCTCGACGACGCACCTAGCAGCCCCGATGGAGATTCTAGCGCTTCAGATGAGGAGGAGAAGTCGCACAGGTCGGAGGACTTGCGCGCAATTGGCTCCGGACTTGAGCCCCACCCCACGTCGCACGAATCTCACCAGGCGGCCGCCGACCCCCAGGAGCCCAAGGAGACCCTTCAAGAAGACACTGCGAACGGTCAGCAGCCATCTACTGAGGCCAAAGGCGACATTTCGGCAAGCTCTCCGGTGGCGGCGAAGGAGCCGATCGGCTCGGCCCAGGCTCACGAGGCAACACCCAAGAAGGATGCTGGAGATGAGCACACCCAAGAGAAGACGGATAAACCGGCTCTAGACAACCAGGGTAAATCGGCGCTGTGAGAACGCGGCACGGCTGGAGCATTGTTTCGGCAGCATTTCCGTTTTTCACAGCACGCATGAAGACACGCGCACACTACCGTCCACTCCTGGGCCCGACCCAGACATTGCATGATACCATCCGGCATTTCGTGGAGTATAGGAATAGCCCTGAGAAAGACATACGAGACGATCCACAGGGGAGTTTGGTTGGCTTTGTATCTCTGTTTTATGGGTAGGATATGCACGGCAGGATCATGGTTGAATTACGAGCATGCCTCGGAGAATTCCTTGGCCCTTTGGGTGCAATACGAAGTCTGTTGACATTGTGATCTTCTGTTTCTCCTGTGCACACCTAGAAATCAATCATGAGCTGAAATGTCACAGTGATTATTGAGGCGAGCATCGCACCGGCTATCTGATGGTAGGTGATATCGACATGAGCTTTGCTGTAACTCGGGGACTGACTGGCCTGGATATCCTACTTGGGCTAAAGTACCGTTCTTGCTCAAAAGTGTCATGCTGACCAAGAAAGCCCCTGGGAGGTCCCATGAGGACGTCCTCCTCGCAAGGCTCTCCCAAGCGCACAGCTCTTTCACCCGGATTTAGCTGATTCGAAGATGCCACAAGGTCCAAGGTCCTCATCGTGGTCGCCCCAGCGTACCCAACAAGCTCGATGCCGTCATGCAGGAGGACAGGCTCCTCTCAGTCCCGGGACAGGCCCCGAAATGCCCACCGCGGAAGAGCTTAGGCGCAAAGGCCAAGCCAGCTCTGACACCTGCAATGCCAGTCTCCTTCACGCCGGATGCCTCAGTTCAGATCTCCATTTCCGTCCTCGATCGGTCTGCAAAGAAGATAGCCTCCGCCTCCAGCGTCATGACACAAATCGTGGTTTCGGCCAGGTGACTGAGTCTGCGGATTTGAGGAGGTTGCCGAGTTCTTGCCTGACACGGAGAGACGTAACACACGTGGTGGTGATGGGTGCGCCGCCGGCGATGAGCCGGAGCACAGGTTAGTGTCTTTTCCAGTTTTGGGCGTGAGTTGTGATGGTGACCTGGGGGTGGGGTCAGCATGTCGGGACTTGGGTCAGTTGTCAGTTTGATAAAGCAAGCGAATTTCCCACGAAGATTAGTTGTGTGTGGTAGATTAGTAATAGGGGGGATGAAGAAAGGAATTTGGGGGGGGGGGGGGGGGGGGGGGGGGGTTGAGAAACGGGTAGGGCAGAAAAAGAAAAAAAAAAGGTGTGAATAATAGGCCGACCTGGATTTGAACCAGGACCCTCCCGGGGTACTTAAGACCTTAGGTAAATCAAGTCAAGCCTTAGGTCTTGAAACTCTCTAACCCGTATGAGAAGATATATCGCACTGTTAATAGTGTAAGCAATTTGGGGGATTTGGGGTATGTATTGCTTAAATAGGTTTAAGTTTACCTTTAAAGCTAAAAATTGCTTATTTAGGGCCCTTAAGGGCTAAACGCCCCTGCTTATACCATATAAACCCCCTTTTTCCAATAGTAAAACCTTAAGCTTAAATTATAATAATATTATTATAAATATATATATTTCTTATTCTTAATTTATTCTTATTAATAAATTAAAAAAAGGGTTAGTATTAATTTAAGTTGCGAATTATTATGTTTATTATATTAAAATAAAATAAAAACTTATATTATTATATTAACCTTTATAAATACTTACTTTAAATTAGGTTTTTAATAGTAATAAATAAATGCTAGTAATTATTTTCATTTTAGTCTTTTCTTTAAAAATAACTATAAAGGATTATATTATTATAAAAAGTTGTAAAATCTTTCTTTAAGTTTTTCTTTATTATTATAGCCCCTTATTAACCCTTTTATAACTTTAAAATCATATTAAATATTATATTAAGTTAATAAACTTAATATAGCGTTTTTAATTTATTATTAACTCCTTAATTAAGGCGGCATTTTTAAAGAGCTATAAGCTTATTTATTTTTATTTATTTTATTATGCTTAATAGTAATTAAGGTAGGGATAAAATATTAAATATAAACTTAAATAAAGATTAAGTTATTCTTATTATTTTTATTACTTAATCTTAAAGTTTTATTTTTATTAATTATATAGTTAATTAATATATTCTTTTAATTAATATTTTAATTATCTTACTTATTATCATTATTATTTAAGTTAAACTTCTTCTTAAGGTTGCTATTAATTAAGTTAATTATGCTTTTTACGTTTAGGTTGTTTTATTAAAGCTAATTTACCTTTTTTATATATTGCTGGATTGCTATTATAAGGTCCTTTCTTAAGCAATGCATTTCCTATATAATAATTTTTATTGCTTACTTTATTTCTCTAACTTAGCTTCCCTTTTATTTTAATTTATATAGGGCCTTTCTTAAATTACCTTTTTAATTAAAATAGCATAAGGAAATACTTATTTTCGCCTTTCTTTTTGCGGCTTCCTTATTTTAAGTTAATAGGGTTTTCTTTTTATAAGGCTTAATAATAATTAAATTTAAATAGTCTTAAAGGAAAGATTTAATATTTAAATAATAACTTCCTTTATTAGCTTTTTAATTAAATTTTTAAGAAATGCTTAAAACGTTATCTTTAGCTATAATTAAGTATAGGAGTTAAGGGCTTAATAAGTTAAGGTTTCTTTTAATGGCTTGCTAAAGGCTATTTAAGATTCCCTTTTCTTAAGCTTAAGCGATATAATTTTTAATTTAATTCTTTAAAAAAGCATATAACCTTTTCTTATTATTATTTCCTATAAAATAATAAAGAAAACCCTGATTTATTAAGTAATCTTTATAGTTTAAGTTAATAATAAGTATATAGTTCCTTAAGTCTTAAATTTCTTAGGTAATTTTTATTATTAAATTAACTAAATTTATAAGGGTTCTTAATTACTTAATATAATATTATAAAACTTAGTAAATTAAAAGTTTTATATTATTAATTACTTATAATTATCTTAATTAATTAATTTCCTTATTACTTATTGCTATTAAAAGCGGAGTATATAATAAAGTTTTAGATTTTAATTTATAAGGTATTAAATATTTAATGCTTTAAGCAAACCTTTATTAGCGCTTATCTTATATAAAAACATTAAAAGGAATTTATTTTAAATTCCTTGCATTTATATTATTATCTTTTATAAATAACTTATCCATAACTTTAACTATAAACCGGCCGTTTATATTTCTTTATTTAGTTCTTTAATAAATAATGTAAGGGTCTTAAGGATTGCATTTCCGGTAATTCTTTTGCTTTTCTTTAAATTTATTTTCCTTTTTAAATAACTATTAATTTAAGGCTTAATGTTTTTAATTAAATAGGGTTTCTTAAAACTTAATATCTTAATAACTTGCTTTATAAATAATTTACTTAAACTTTATATTTATTAAGCAACCTTTTTTATTAAATATTAAGCTTAAGTTAGAATTAAGCAAATCCTTAACGCTTTATTTCCTTAAGAAGTTTGCAATTTAATTAAATTGCCTCCCTTGTTTATTAATAATAGCTATTAAGGCAATACTTAGCAATGCATGCTTAGTTTTTTCCTATTATTAATATAAAGGCTGGCAATTAAGCTTTATGGTTTAGTTATATGTATTTAATAATGACTTTAATTAATTTCATACTTATAATAGGATATTTCTTGGTAATTAAGCTTATAATAATAACTTAAGGTAATCTTAAATATAGGTTAGTAAGTATGCTTGGCTTATCTTAGGTATTTTTAAAATATTAAAGGGAATCGTTTTTTATTTTTTCTGGGTATTAATTATAATGTTATTTTTTTACTTAAGATATTAAGGTAGGTAATTAAGCCGTTTTGGGTTAAGTTTTATTTATATTTCTTCTTTCTTATTTATATGCCTTTTAATAAGGTAAATAATGCCTTTTAATTAATGTATTCCCACCTTTTAAACCTTATTTTTTTCCTTATTAAAATCTTCCCTAAATTTAAGTCTTAAACTTTTATTATTATTATTAAGTAAATTACCCTTATTATTTAAGCAGTTTAAGTTGGAATCCTAAGCCAACGCACCTCTTTACTTAGCACTTTTATTACTTTATTTATTCTTAATAATCTTGCTTTTTTGGTTAGTAAAATTAATTAAAATATTAAGATTAGGGGTAGGATTTTTTATAAGTAAAATCTTCTTTGCTCCTTAATTAAATAATAATATTGCCTTTTATATATTATTTTCTTTCTTTAAGTCCTTATTTTAAAGTTATATAGCTAAGATATTATTTAAGTTTAGTTTTCTTATTATTAACTTTATATATACATTTTAATCTTTACGCAACACGCTTTTTAATAGCCTTATTTAATGCTTTGCCTTATTATTATTAAGATTCGTTATTATTATATTTTAATTGCAGAGTTGGTTATTAAGGTATAAAATAACGTTTATAATTTATTTATTTTAGCTTGCTACTTAGCGTTAAAATGCTTGCTGCTAGTTACGGTTATGTTTAAAATCCAAATTAATAATTAGCTTGTAATATCCCGCTACTTCCTTATAATATAGGATTTATATAATATGGTTTAGGTCTTGGCCTTTACTTTCCTCTTTATTATTATATAAAGTAGCTGGGGGTTAGCTTTATAAGCTATAAGGGTATATTATATTAATTTAAATAGTTTTATTTAAAAGCTTATAGGTTACTTTATTTATAAAGATTGCAATCTGGTTAATATAAAAATTATATTAAGCACTTATGTTTTAAATAATGTTAGCATCTTAGCTTAGTTAAATATAAGACTTAAAAAGCTAAATTAAAATAAGGGTTTGCTTCTTAAACTTAATAATTAAAGTTTAATATATAATAAAGAATAAATATTAATTCTTGTAACTTAAAGTTAAAAGTAATTAGTAACTCGCTAGGAATTGCTTAATAAACTTTTTTATTGCATTAAACTATTTATATGCCTGCTTAATTAAAAGGTTAAGCGTTTCTTATAAGCACTTTTTAAACTTCTTTTTCTTTAAGATAATGAACTTAAAGATAAGAAACC